GATCAATTTGCTATATCTTGCAATATCCATCTGCATCTGAACTGTCATGCAGGAATTTGAATGATAAAACGAATTTTCCAAATCTGCAAGAAGACCCACTGGGATTTTTATATGCCTTTATGAGTACATCAGCCAAGCGATCACACGCCATCACCAGATCAGTGTCTAGGTTGGGGGAAGGTATGACTGGGCCTCCTCCAGTCTTCTCTGCCTTGAATTTCTGTTTGGTATATTCCCCTGCTTCATAAGTCACAGTCAGGGCCCAAGTGCACCAGATGTTTATGCTATCAGGAGTGGAAGGGGAAGAACCGTTCATGCTGGATGTTAATCTTGGGAAATCAGACGCTGAATGCTGGATGTCCGGACTTTGGTATTAAAGGGGGTGGAGATAGAGAGGATCAGATAAGGGAGCCTGGGATAATTTTGGCTGTCAAAGATATATTATTATCCATTGCTCAATGAAATACTACCTGATTGGAAGTGTGCTGGTCATCAGATATTCATTTGTCGACTCCCGGGTCCCGGAACTCGGAAGTCGGTACAGTTGACCCAAATTTGGGTGGTCGGAACTTGGCATCTCGTAGGGCAACACAAGCTTCGCACCGCCATGTCAGGAGATCACCTGCTGCTCCGGGAACTCGGTAACTTTGATTTATTACCTCCTCTGAGTACGGTTGACTCACATTTTGGTGGTCAGAACTTGGCTTCTCATAGGGCAACACAAGCTTCGCACCCCCGGATTACATTCGCATCTTCGCACCCCGGATTCCACATTCTGCAAGACAACCTGTGCACCATCAAAGGCCATGTCAGGAGATCACCTGCTGCTCCAGGAACTTGGTAACTTTGATCTATTACCTCCTCTGATTTGGTTGATGTACAACTACCTCAGCTCCATCATGTCTACAATTATGATACACATGGGCCCACCCATCTATATTTTACACCACCCTTGGCCCACCCGTCTAATACAACATCCCATACAACACCCTCGGCCCACCCGTCTAATACAATATTTTATAATACCCTCGGCCCACCCGTCTAATTTAATATGTGTCTGGGCCCACCTGTGAATGTGATAACAAGTACCTACCCATCTATCTCATACACATCTACCTTAATACACTCATCTGCATAATATCCAACTACCTCGGCCCACCCGTCTACCTAATATTCATGTACATTGGCCCACTCATCTACTCTATATATTCCCTGCATGGGCCCACCCGCCTCCATCGGGAATAATTTGCCTCCCAGCCCATCTGTCACAGTCGAGGATATTTTTATCATGGGCCCATGGTCCGCTGGCCTGTATCATACGGGATATTATGCACGTCCGTTCCCTCGTATTATACGGAGATAGGTCACTGTAATATGTGTGTTCACGGGGAACTCAAAGTCAGCCTGCGAAACCATCTATCCCAATGTATGCTTACAAAAGTAACAGGAAGCCCATGCACGACACCAAGAGGAGCTCAAGCATCACATTGAACAAGGTTGTGAAGCACTTGATCCAACCAACTGTAAGCAGGTGTCGATATACAAACAATACTGCAGCATACTTGTGAGAGTTATGAACAGCGACTGGAGCAGTAAGAAGCAGAACTAATTAAGAATGCTGCCGAAGAGTTGGCACAATGAGAAACAGAACTAAATGAAAAGAATATCAAAGAGGTGAAGCAAGGAGACAGACTGACAGGGGGAATTGCTAACATCAGAATAGTCACAAGAATGTGACAGAATCATGCTTGCTGAGATGGAATGAAGTTTACAACTGGAAGTAGGGAAACTCAAGGCAAGCATCTGATAATATGGTGTGAGCATATATACTGAAAAGTCACTTTAGGCAGAAAAAGAGAGTGATTTTGTTAACATAGAGACAATTTTTGCAATGTGGTAGACAAGCAGAAGAGGAAACAGAAATGAACATAGATTCTGCCCCCAGGGACACTGGACAATGCAAAACACCCCAAAGGCCTTTGTCCGGCACACCATGCCTCAATGCAATCAAAAAGATCAAGAAGATATGTGGGACATTGTGTAGGACACACTTAGTATCAATCATAGTGGATGTGAGTACTAGACGTGGTGGGAGCTCGTTTTAACTTACACCACATAAGATTGTCCTGCAGAAGCAAGTCCAGAACAGTCACCCACAGTTGAGCAGGAGGCACCGTATCCATGACCTGGTGATACCTCCTCTATGTCAACCATGGAGAATGCAATCTCCAAAGGCATAGATAGAGGTGGTGTTGAGACAAATCCTAATTGATAAAGAGTTTCTGGCAACCATGAAGTGTAGTCCCTGATGGAGAAATACCAAGGATCAAGAAGTTTGGATGGAAAGGGCTACAGAACCAAGTCACAAAAGAGACTTCATTCTTGTAAGCCATCATCTTGCCTTTGATCTTGCAAATGGGTCTAAAACCCCCTGGAACGCAAAAGTTCTTCATCTCCTGTTCGAGGTATTGCAAGAGAGGTGCACTCAAGAGGAGTGGCCATTCCAAAGGCTGGATAGGTACTACGAAGTGCTAAAGGAGTGCTACAAGCAGCTGCACACCATGTGGAGAATCACACAGCCAAAGATCACAGAAAAGGGAGTATTGGAGACTGGAAAGGAGGTGGAGGAGAGGCTGGTGACAAGGAAAGATGAAACTCTCAAGAATGTTTGTTAATCAACTCGTAGGTGAAATGTATGTCTGCAGTCTCAAGGTCACCCTGATACCTAACACCTCCATAGAAATATGTCCAAAGAATGACTGTTCTCAACACCTGGGTGGCACCATTCATATTACTAATTAGTAATAGTACTGTGTACCTGTACTTGTTACTAATTCATAAGGATTATCTATCTGCTATGCTACCAGCAATAATACCAGCACTCATGAGTCCCTTGGGCGATTCTACCACCATAGCTGCCTACTATAATGGGAGGACTCTATCAGGTAAGTCTGAGCTTGTCGTCACTGCCGCAGCTAATGTAAAAATAGCCTTTGGTGCTGTCCATTCCCACCGCTATGCTTCTCGTAAGCTTCTGCTCATCGTCCACTACAATGAGCTCGTTCCTTCCCTTCTTCTACCCCCAATTTCCAACCAATTTTTAGTGGGATTTATGCAGTGTGTATTCACTGTCCTTCTGGACGTGCTCCCTCCCTCTCCCACGCTGCTGGACCCATGATCATTGTGCTATTTCGCTGGGTTACGAGGGATGCTCAGTGCGGGCCAGTCTTTACAGTGAGTTCCTTCTATAACCTCTGCTACTCAATGCCCACAGTGAGCTCACTCCTCAGCCTCTCCCGCCCTCATTTTCCATCCGGTCTTTTGCAGACCTCTTCTTCAGTATAGCTGGCAGCATACCAAGCACATCCACTGTCTCTACCGCGTGGTTGGACCCATTGTTGACACGCTGTCTCATTGGTTGAATGATGGACGACTTGGAATTAAAGCGCGACATGAAACACTTTCCCTTCAACATTGTTGACAAGGACAACACATGCCAATTTGTGAGTCAGACCTGTGAATGCTCAGCGCGGGTCGGTCTTCACAGTGAGTTCCTTCTGTAACCTCTGCTGCCCTCATTTCTCACCCTTTTCAGATGTTTCTCTTGTTTTCTGTGGTTAACGACCTTCTCATTGCTATAGTCAACAAGGTATGTGCTCTAATATACAATGTTCTCTAGTGCTATGTTGACCTACATGTGGTGCCAGAGGTCCTTGGGGTTCCCCGGGACATTATGTTCGTTTATCGACACCATTGCTGGTGTACTTGCTCCCACGCTCGAGCTTCAACATTGTCAGCATGCATTGCAAGCGTTCTAAGCTCTCAACTGTTGGCAAAGTTAAGGAGGCTGTTGTGCAGTCCACCGGTAATCTCAGAACTGTGTGCTCCAACCTTATGAAGTTGCGAGCCGATCACATAGCATTTGAGAGGGAGCAGGTCCAGAGTCAGCTAGGTGGGGTTTTTCCATTCTTTGACTATTTTGTTATTTTGCTCATTTGTCAAACAGCCACCGATATTACTGCAAGACAGCTCCTTGTTGAGGCTGCACTTGAGGTGGGCACTGCGAATGATGCGAACACCGACCCTCAGTATCTGGACCACCCTGACTACCCTGACATGGACTTTGATATGGGTCAAGAAGAAGACTATGTAGATGAGGAGGATGGGTCACAGGAGGAAGAAGATGAGGCAGTGTTGGAAGGAAATACCACGAGTACATATGAAGGTTCAGCGGTTGATGCTGCATGGGCTCACATCGTATATTGGTAAGTTTCCTTTTTTCATGGTTTTTACAAATAACGGTTTGTGCAGTTTGCAAGGTAGACATCGCCACCGCTGGCCACCGCGCAGTCGACTCCAGTGCAACCGTCATTGTCACAGTGCATGGATGTCTCAAATGCCAGCACTCGTTGCAAGCTACTTGCGCTGGAAGCACCATGAAGCCATGCCCACACTTAATGTCGAAGCTGGAACATTCATGTTCCATGTCAGCACAGTTGATATTCTAGGTACATTTTTTTCATGCCTAAGATCACAGTGCCACTCATAAAGTACAGCATCGATGTCTTTGATGTCAGTCCAGCAAGCTGCTGACGAATTGGCCAATGTGTCACTCATCAATATCGGACTCCTCAGGTGTTCCCCCATTCAGCCTAAAATCGCTGTGTCCCTTCAATGCCTTGAGTTATATCATCAAATCCACCGACACAAACCTTCCTTCAGTGTGCAGGCAATGGTCAAAGTACTCTGTGCCCTTCACAATGTATGTTTTTTGTGATGTGTAGCTATGTTTTATTAGGTTTCTACTATTAATATTGCATTCTAGTGCTCATATTTCCAAGCATTGCGGGATCAATTTGCCATCACTTTCGATGTCTATCTTGATATCTTATGGTGCGTTCAAGAATTAGCTAACACTGCATTGAAGTGTGATACTCCTCATTGGCGCATGCTTCACTTGTGCCCTGCATGTAACCACAAGGTAAATATTTATTGTTATTATATGATGGTGAGACATGAACCACACTACAGCAAGAGAATGAGCCGACCTTGATACCTGCGAGGATGGACAGCATGGATGGCAACAGCTCATTGAAATGGGTCGACAGCTCCGGACATGCTGATGAGCGCATCTTCAAAACATCATATTTGATACTTCCTGACGAAGTTGACATATTTAAGGATGATGTGTGACTGTGGCCAGGAACACTGAGCAGTCACTAGTAACACATCAGGAGGGGCTAGTCCTGCTGATATCTCAGAGACGGCATGCACTGACAATTGGAAGACCGCAAACACAATTTCTGACAACACTGTCAAAGTATTTGAGCAAACAGGTATTTTCATTAGTGCCTGTCGACACAGCATGGTCCAGACCTTGGTTGAGATGTGACGAAGCGGAGAACTGTGAGCCTTCTTCTAGCCCTTATTCATAATTTGATGTCAACAATTTTATAGTGCTAAATATGCTCTTGCAACAACAAATAAAGTTCTTGATGTTTATGGTTCGAACGGAGTAACAGGATATGACATCGGATGTTCCTATCAGAAGACCATTGATGCCAGCTCTATCTCTGTCAAGGCACACTCCAACCATCATCGCTTCATCATCAACTCATTTCATGGACATGCCCACAACTGCCATTGTCAACTTTGGTTCCATCCTTTATATCAACATGGCCTTGGCCTCGAGGACCTTGAAATGTGCGAGCGCGTATTCTCTGCGTCAAATGCCGTAGCTCCTGTCATCCACCACGCATCTTACTTTCACTGGCTTCAATTTATCGACCTCCACTTTCAGCAGTGGGATTCTGATCAGTACCTGGAGCTAAGTATGTTTTATTATATTGTTAATGTTCTTGAATTAATGATTGACTCTCAAATTCTAGGTAAATTTTTGTATAATAACTACAAGCAAGCGCTTGCCATAATCGATGACCTAAGTCCGGCTGCCGAGGAACTAAAATTAGTGCTGAATATCTCGGACGAAGACTTTGAGCGCTGGAATATGGAGGAGTTCAAATTTCTGGAGACCCTGACAGAGGAAACAGATGAGGACGTTGAGGCGATGACTTATGTGGAAGCATTACAATCACTTGCCAAAGCTGAGTAAGTCAGCATCTGTTAAATTTTAGATCATGCTGACACTTGTGTTATTTCAGAGCTGCATATGGCAGTGTCACGACGGTGCAATTTCTGACTTATACACCTGTAGATTTCACCCCTACTCACGGTCTCCAAAAAAACCAACAAGCCTTCGCGAGAGCTCGAGAAGCCAAATGCCATGCAGCTCATTGCAAGTTGGTTCTTGAAATGAACGTTGTTGATGATATCGAGCATCGCATGGGAATTACTGAAAGATGGCAGCCACAGGATATGAAATATCAGGAGGGTCTAGCATATCTCACCAACCGGCAATTCATTCGTGCGATTGAGCAGTTGCAGGGTCTTGTCGTTCAGAGGCTCTTTGAGTTGGCCAAAGCAAACATTGCTGGCACAGGTGTGTAATTTTCGTTTACTTGACATTATTCTAACAAAAACATGAAGGTTACAAACTTCGTCAACATATCTCGAATGCTATCACTCGCTGGTCAGCAGCCATCCGAAGAGCTCTCAAAAAATATAATCAACTTGCCATTGTTCAAACGCCGCCACGAGAAGTCATAGAATACAGCAAAGTGACATCATATGCTTGGCTTGGCGAGTTCGACCTCCTCAAGAATTCACGTCATTGCATACTTGAGAAGCCATGGGCGTCCAAAGGAAATCGTGAGGTCGCAAACAATTTCTTCAAAATTCAACGTGCTCATGAAGAAATTCAACGTCTCAATGTCGAGGTTGCACGACTATCTGCTTGGGTAGATGATGAAGATGCGCACTTGAAATCGACATTCAAATCATTGGTCGAATCAGATCCAACACTTTCGCACGAAATCTCTTGCATGTACGAGGAGCGCAGATGAGTGAATGAAGTGCATCACAGAAGGATTCAGGCTATTCGTGATCTCTCTGGTTACTGTGGATTGTGGGGCATAGAGATGAGAAGCATTGATGATCACAGAGGTGGAGATGCAGATGAGATGATGGAAGATTTAAGAGGTACTAGAAGTATTGAGGCTGACGAGGATGACGCACTTGGGGACAAGGCTGACCGTTTAGAAGCTTGTATGATTTAGTAGAGTACTGCATAGACAATTATATGCATGGATTAAAACATTGACTCATTCAAGGTGTGATTATTAGCGGTTCAGGTTTACATATGCATATACGGTTTGTGGCTAATGTAGTGCAGAAGTTCATTGATAGTGCGGATGCGCTCATGAGAGAGGGATTCTTTGAACAATTAAGAATGTTGAAGGTGTCTGCCATCGTTTGAAGAGCGAGTTGTGAGAGTGAGATGTGAGTCCGACTTAATTAAAAGTGGCAAGGAAGGCGCATAGTATATGCATTTGGTGCGTGACTGAGTACATATGATCAGTTTGTGTAGAAAAAACATCCAAAATGGCTTAGGTATGGCCTTACCATGGTGTGGTACTTTGCTATGGCCTGATGTGCAGTGCAGACAACATTTTGCAGAAGAACAATTTGACGTCAAAGAAGGTCCCAATGAACTATGACAACTATGAGAAGAATATTGTCGAAGTCTACGCAGTTGCAATCAACAGGTGGACTTACGAGAAGAGTGTGTGCAACCCTGGGAAAATCGGTCGTCAAGAACACCTTATCAAATTATTGGATGCACTGGTCAAGGGCGAGTGCTCCTGGGTTGTGCTGAGTGAAGATGAATTATCAGAACACATCCAAAACAACCACAAGCGTCAAGCGAGTGGTGAACAAGTCTACAAATCCCGTAAAGCTGCACAACAACATGAAACTGACAGCGCTAAGAGTGCCCAAATCATCTGTGACAGTGACTTGGAGAACAGCAAGGAAGACAGCAACTGAGCTGGGAGGAAGTAACATGGATGGTCTTGAAGGTTCACTGAATGATGCAGGTACTGCTGAGCAGGGGCTTCAAGTGACACATTAGGTGGCGCTGGGTAAATAGCACTTTTATTATCATTGAATATATGCTATACAAGGGCAAAGGACATATAAAAAATCAGCGAGAAACGAGCATGGTACAGCAGAACAAGCTTACCGAGGACTCAGTGCGATGCATGCTGACAATGTTGAAGCTCGAGCGTGGGAGCAAGTACACCAGCAATGGTGTCGATAAATGAACATAATGTCCCGGGGAACCCCAAGGACCTCTGGCACCACATGTAGGTCAACATAGCACTAGAGAACATTGTATATTAGAGCACATACCTTGTTGACTATAGCAATGAGAAGGTCGTTAACCACAGAAAACAAGAGAAACATCTGAAAAGAGTGAGAAATGAGGGCAGCAGAGGTTACAGAAGGAACTCACTGTGAAGACCGACCCGCGCTGAGCATTCACAGGTCTGACTCACAGATTGGCATGTGTTGTCCTTGTCAACAATGTTGAAGGGAAAGTGTTTCATGTCGCGCTTTAATTCCAAGTCGTCCATCATTCAACCAATGAGACAGCAGTGTCAACAATGGGTCCAACCATGCGGTAGAGACAGTGGATGTGCTTGGTATGCTGCCAGCTATACTGAAGAAGAGGTCTGCAAAAGACCGGATGGAAAATGAGGGTGGGAGAGGCTGAGGAGTGAGCTCACTGTGGGCATTGAGTAGCAGAGGTTATAGAAGGAACTCACTGTAAAGACTGGCCCGCACTGAGCATCCCTCGTAACCCAGCGAAATGGCGGGTTCATCGCCCTTGTCAACAATGTTGAAGGGAAAGTGTTTCATGTCGCGCTTTAATTCCAAGGCATCCATCGTTCAACCAACGAGACAGCATGTCAATAATGGGTCCAACCATGCGGTAGAGATACGGTATGCTGCCAGCTAAATTTGAGAAAGAGGTCTGCAAAAGACCAGATGGAAAACGAGGGCGGGAGAGGCTGAGGAGTGAGCTCACTGTGGGCCTTGAGTAGCACAATGATCATGGGTCCAGCAGCATGGGAGAGGGAGGGAGCACATCCAGAAGGACAGTGAATACACACTGCATAAATCCCACTAAAAATTGGTTGGAAATCGGGGGTAGAAGAAGGGAAGGAACGAGCTCATTGTAGTGGACGATGAGCAGAAGCTTACGAGAAGCATAGCGGTGGGAATGGACAGCACCAAAGGCTATTTTTACATTAGCTGCAGCAGTGATGACAAGCTCAGACTTACCTGATAGAGTCCTCCCATTATAGTAGGCAGCTATGGCGGTAGAATCACCCAAGGGACTCATGAGTGCTGGTATTATTGCTGGTAGCATAGCAGATAGATAATCCTTATGAATTAGTAACAAGTACAGGTACACAGTACTATTACTAATTAGTAATATGAATGGTGCCACCCAGGTGACCTATCACACACATTATTTCCGGATTTCTGGATCCGGCCGACTTCTATCTATCGTCCAGATCCGACCTGCGTCTATCTTCCGTGCCTTATCCCTTTGTACGTTCCTTCTCCAGTTAGACTATGCTCATTTTCCGTACCTTATTTCATTTCCGCCTTTATTTTCCTATGTACTTACTCCCAGCCCACTGGCACTATCGGTGAAGGGATTTGCACAGGGATGTCTTGATCAGACATGCCATTTTGATCTTGTTCAGACATCTTGATTGTACCTCCCAATCAAAGTGGCAAATGTAGTGCTATCAGGCTCCATAGGCAGAGCAAATTGTTCACATTGGGCTCTGTAATAGTTGTTGGATCACTTGAGCCCTCCTGAACCACTTATAATCAGGGTGCAGGCACTGAGAACTTGAAGTGTAGCATAAAGCAGCTTTGGAGTATTGTTAATTACCTCCAGCGAGAGCCATCAGTACATCTATAGGAATAGAATGGCAAAGACATAGTGCATACAGTCTGCACAGAAACCCGCTTCCCTGTCAAATAATACTGTTGACTCTGGAGAATGGTAACAGTAATCTGTGCCACTCCTGGCACCAGTGGTACCAAATTCTGACTGGGATAGTCTGGGTGATATGGCACAGGGAAGGGGTCATACACCACATATGTATCATCTAGTGCACCCATCAACTCACTGCTGTCTCCTGTGCCTGCTCCAATCACATGGTTGTGCGAGTATCTGGCATGTTAGAAGTGCTATGGGTGGGCGACGAGCAAGATATTATATCAAATGATTTTCGCAACTTCAAGGAAAGTGAATGAAACAAAGCAACAGTATAAACTGTCGGTTGCAATAAAAGCAGGTAGAGTTGAGTGGAGCAATTTTGGACAATAGTCCAAATAATTGTTTGGCGGCAGTACTACTGATTCCAAAGCATCAAATGGTTAAGGATGGTCACTATTGAGGCAACAGTACCTGAAACCACTTCCCCGAGTGCAATTAATTTATTGAACATGGCAAAAGATTAAAGAGATAAGTCTATGGGCAGCTCAGCTGTACATACAGCTAAGTTGTTAAAGGAGACAACAAGCAGAGGGCAGGCAGCTCAATTATGACTTGTTTGTGACTATTATGGTCGTCTATACTGAATGCACAACAATGACAAACAACTATCGCGGTCTCAGGCATTACAATGAGTTCTCTTCTTGGTCCTACAGGTGCGATGGTCTTATGGATCTGCATAGTAGTGCTGGACCATATGTAAATTCGTGATAGAGCGTCCTGAAAGTTATCGCATTTGTGTAGTCAATATCTGCCTCATCAATGCATCAATGCATCAATACACTTAATTAATTAATCCTAACCTAAGGCACAAAAAGAGTCACAATTTAGCCACTTTGTGTAAATGTATTTCAGGTTTTCAATGTCAACTTGCTCAAGTGCTCAACGGTGCATACTGTTGAGGCTCAAGCACTCAATGGAATACTATTGAGCAGCATGCTCTGCTTGGGCATGACAGAACAGTCATGGGATCAAAGATAAACTCATATGTGAGAGCCCTATTTTCAACACTTCATCCACAAGCCTCCTTCCAGAGAGTTAAGCATCTAGAAACTTAAGTCCAAGGGGTTTTAAGGGGTTTCACTGGGATTTGGGTCAAACATTCTGCATTCGCACACACTTGAATTTATTATCTTCATCAGTGATCTATGATAACAGTACTCTTTGGAACTTCGTGGATACTTCAACTTCCCCACAACTTCCCATGCATTTTCAGACAGTTTTCAGACAGTAGAGCTTGGGGTCATGCTTGCGTCGCTACCAGCAGGCCCTAGGAACACAGATGTCATCTCCATGAACAAATCCGAACTCAATCACTTGATCACTAATAAAGCCAACGACAATGAAATTACCAATAGCCTCAGCCATGTGTTACCCCTCATCTTTACATCATTTTGAACACCATTACCTGTAGTGAATGCCCTTGAAAAGGCAGATAGAGCGCCTCTCTATGACTTTACCACTAAAATGTGGCACATGCCTGTCATGGTGGGTCAGACAATTGAGAACCGCTTCGTGATGTTTCTCAATACCCTCAGCAAAGCTCTTCTCAAATTCTTGCCTGGACAAGTTCCCCTGCTAATATGGCACAGTTCACACTCTACAAGACCAGTTGGCAACAATCTTGTTGTGTCAGACAAGGTGGACCTACAGTGGAACAGTATGCTCATAGTTGCTAAGCTGAGTTCCATTGCATATATCTCTGCAGAGCACGCTGGAAGGACACTTGACATGAAGGCCTGGCTTATGTTGAAAGACCAGCTGTGGAGGCATTTCATGCTCCTTCTCTCATTTTTGGATGATTGTCATGAACTTTATGTGCACTTGTATGACTACTCAGGCAGCATCATCACCCCACCAGTCAACATAGACTGGAAACCTGATACTTTTATATACATCATAGCATGTATCGTGTTCGGACATTGTACCTGCATAGGATTTAACCACACAATCATAATCAATCCAAATATGATACCAGAGGTGTCTGAAATGTTTTGGGCTCGGAACATCAAGAAAATTCCCCAGTGAAGAAACAAGGTGGTTGTCAATGACCCCTTTGAATCCAGCACATCATCTGTACTACTCCCTACTATAGAGCCGTACATGACACCTTTTAACTCGCATCCTGTGTATTTTTCGCCCTCTGCCAATGAAAACAAGTCATTGTTACCCTCGCTACCACCCCACATCATTTCCACTGTGCTCACAGATGAGCCTGTGATAGACTCCAAGCAGCCAAAAACTACTCCCCATCTGTCATACCAGAGTGATAGCAATGCACCAATAGGAAAGATCATTGTGAACAACCACAAATACATTTTGCTAAAGGTTCTATTCTCCTGTCAAGGACTTCTAGGCCAAGGAACCATGTGTTACTTAGCTAGTAGTGATGATGAGGAGTACATCATTAAGGATTATTGGGTGAAAGGCAACAGTGATGCTATCTTAAACAAGGTGAAGATGCTAGAAGAAATGAAGAGTGTCGTCAGTATTCCGAGACTTGTCGAATACTAGCTCATTCAGGCAGAGGAGGGCCAACCCAATGAGACACAAAGATATCACAACAAAATTGAAAACAGCACAGTTGGCACATACCATACACATGTTCATCTTGTCTTGCAATCTCGGGCTTGTCCTTTGTACATGTTTCAAAGCAAGAAGGAACTTCTCAGAGTTTTACACAACATTGTGCTTAGTGAGCTGACTGTATTGATCACATGTGGTCTTTATCAGCTAATCCCTCTATTAAAGTTTAACAGTGCACGGTAGAAACACATCAAATTTTGCACAGAGACTGCAATCTGAATAACATCATGATAGAAGATTGTGAAGGCAACAGTTGGGGGCCATTGATAGACTGGGAGTTCACTTTGTATATTACATCAGATAATACGTACCCTACCAGCGGAACAGTAAGCGACCTACACTAACTGGAGGGGTGGTATCTTGACATATGTTCAGGGAATGATACCATTTATGTCCATCGACCTTCTTGATCAGATGGGCAAAATACAACTGCAAAGCCAGGTGGGAGCAGCAGATTGCAAGGAGGCCTCACTCTCTGTCCCCGTCAAGATAGAAGGGATCAAACATTTCTACCATGATAACCTTGAAGCTCTATTTTACGTCTTTGTCTGGGTCTGTATCGCACTCAAGGGGCCAGCCAACACAAGGCACCAACTTAATCCCTTGAAGAGCCATCCCAAGGGCTCGATGGTTTGGCTACCGGAAGAATGGCATGGCACACAATTGGATATAGCAACTTGTGCCAAGAAAAAGTCATACTTCTTTTCTGAGTATCCACAGAAATTGCACCTATCTGAACAATTTGATCCCTATTTCAAGGATCTTGTTCCCCTCGCAGAGGAGTGGTACAACATCCTTCATAAGAAGAGATTGGAAAGAAAGAAGGCAGAGTTCAAGAATACAAAGGTGAAGTAACTCCACTTTAATGAGGTATCTAATCTGCTGGAAACACACCTTACCATGCTTTCAGATGATGAAAGGGGACCTCAATTTGTAGTATCTCAACTGGATTTGCATGAGTCACTGCATAGGCTGAACAAATCATTCAGGGACCAAGATATACCAGTACCACCAAACCCCACAGGAGAGGACAGAGAGGACAGGGAGAAGGATAGGGAAGATCCGAGTTGACATCATATTTGAAGAGTCAAAGCATTGAAGGACACCTGTGCGGATGTGGCCAGTGGTGGAGGGCGGGCAGCTTAACAGTTCAGATCAAGCTTGTTACATCTTGTTTAATTAAGGACTAAATGGGTCTGCAAATTGCACACATAAGTATCAATGTAATTGCAGATAATCAAAGTTCTTGGGAGGCTCGCTAAACCAATCAGGTGATCAACTTAGCCAGAGCTTTTTATGTGTACCTCCAATTGCTTTGTCTAGGATTTGCTGCCTAGATTCAGAACTGTGGTCTGAAGTACAAATAACTTTGCCTAGATTGTACGTTCTAGGCCCTGAGATGAACTGGATAGATAGGTTTTGTTTGACCAAGGCACGAGTTGGTCAAATAGGCACAAGTAGTAGAGACACAAGGGGGTCTCTGAAATATCACATTGACCAAAGACTGGTTGGTCAAATAGGCGCAAATAGTACTGGTGAGACAATGGTCTCAAGAATAATCACATTGACCAAGGCACGAGTTGGTCAAATACACAGTAAACAGGAGAGACAACAGTCTCTAATATCACATTGACCAAAGACTGGTTGGTCAAACATACAGTAATGTACATCTCTTATCGTAAGAAACTTGTATTCTCAAGGAATACATTTCCCTGCACTTGTTCTGCTATAAGTGGGAGATCTTGACAAGTGAGATGTCTTTTTCAACTGAGGGGTTTCTCTGAGAAGGAAATTTCCTAGAAGAGGGATCTCTATTTTTTGCGGGCAGAATGGGCTCTCCTTATATACATTTTGTGTGGGAAAGTAATGTAGGTTTGCAAACAATAAAAATAAAGAGAGAACCAATCAGAATATTAGGTGAAACCCAATAAAAGTATAAAATCCAAATAAAAGATGGAGCAATGACATCAGAGATGACATCATAGTGGAGCTAGAGTGGAGCTAGAACATTCTAGAGCCTATGACATCATTATGACTTCATACATTACATCATAATTTCCAACAGAATAGCCCAGAACCTTCTGTGGAGCTATATGACATCATACTCAGAAAAGATATTTTCTGGAGTATCTGGTAAGTCATAGCATCCTAAATAAAATGAAATGAAAGAACAATGCTAGAGAAAACAAAATAGAAACAATAATAAAAATACAATATGCAAGACACAGGCTTTTTAGATAGGTTTTTGTTAGGCTTTGAACTTTTCTCAATGGTTTTCTCTACCCAATGTGAATAAGCCAAAGGCAAGGCAATACCTTAACCTTTATTTCAATTCTCATATTAACTAGGTCATTCTGTGATTCCCATTTCACATATGACTTTTTCTTCTTCTGTATAAAACTTGAAATATAGGACCCCAAGGTTTAATACCAAGGTATGAGGTGACTAGTCTGAGGACTATGCTAACAGACATAATATTTTGAGGTTATTCCTAGTAGTAGTTTATGTCCATGCATGATTCCTGTATCATGCAGGACAGTGGGTAGTGATAAAATGGAAGTCCTGGCATTAGATGGCTCGTGAGATCTCATGTGTTTGATTGTGAATGTACGTAGTTGGGTGTCCATATTACGCTTCAAGAAAACATTAGACTACCCTAGGATCAGTGGAAATTGGTCAAGTTTTATTTTTATTAAACATACTGCCTCCTTGTTCTGATTCAGGGGGAACAAAGGATTACTTGACCCAAGGGCGGCAATTGAATGAGAAGCTCATTTGAACCAAAAGACAAGACTTCTCCACTGATATCAGATATGAACTAGGACATGAAGGTTGACAAGCTTAAGCCACTAAGTAAATTTTTGGATGCCTTAATTCTCCATTAGCATGAGCACTCAGTGGTATGTACCGCTAAGTTGAAAAAGAATGCCATCGCTGTCACAACAACAGATCTAGGATAGTGACAGACATAACCTGGCAGCTTAATTGTTAGTGATTGTTTTCGTGGCTGTGTTTTCATCACATTCATGTCTTGTCAGATAGTTATATATGACAAGCTAGAGTTTGAATCACACCACTAATGATGATAGTTCATAAATACGACAGTAGTAGAAACATAAGGCACATCACACATTAATCTTGCTGTAAAGGTATCAGCTGCGATTATATCAATAACTTGAATGTCAAACCCACTGTAGATGGCATTCTGATCTTGCCTGCAGCCATCTCAATCAGCTTCTGCCTGGCATGACTTGACATATACTTCAGGTGTGACATAATCATGTCATTCACTGGCCATAGGTTGATGTATTTGCCAAGCTCTGGGAATTTGCAGGCAGCCTGATATCTCGTGAGATCCAAGTTAGCAATTACAGTTGAGACCATTTACCTTAATACGCACAATCTTCAAAAGCACATCACTTTGTGCAGAAGTGCACTTTGTCATTTCAAGGTGGTTGTTGATTAGTTGATGCGTTAACTTCTGAGAGATCTTGAGTTACTTTGCAATGGAAATGAGCATATTGCAAACCTTGAACTTTGTGTATGCTTTTGGACTCCAATTCAATGCCTCATAGAGCATATATCCCCCACGTTGAACCTAACTGCAATTAGTCATCTTTTTCCTTCAGTCTCAGTGTGTTCAGTTGAATGTGCACACCGCCAAATCCAACGAGTCCTTCAAGCATTTCCATAGGACTATTCTCCCCCCAACTTGACTGGCTTGTCACCTTTTGTGCGGCCACACTCCCACACACAGTCTCAGCCCTTTACTAGCATTGGGATCCACTACTTATCTCCAGACAGGGATAACCTCTCTTCGGGAAAGCATTCATCTGACATGGACTCGTTTTTTGATTACTCACAGAAAGGTGACAGCTTTGTGCGCCAACTTTCCTCATTGCCCATGCCACGCTCAGCATCCAACTTGAACTCTGATGGTGAGCATAGGTCATCCTCAGGCTTAGTTATGGAACAGTCAGCAACATCATCAACTATGTCTTTTGAATGCATAGAGCAGCTGGAGGCATTGCAGAAGGCCAATGCAGAGCTTGGGCGGAAGCTGATTGAGGTTGAGAGGACACTTGAGAACAGGCTGAATGAGCATGACATGGATTTGGATGAGATGCAGGGGCACTTGGAAGAACTCAAGAGTGAACTCACTTCTACCAAGCAGAAGGAGAAGGAGCTCTGAATAAAGGAGGTATGCAATGCATGAAGTGTATGGACAATGTCTGATGGATGTCATTTAGCAAACCCATGTGTCATCAACGTTAGAATTCAGACTGGGCCGCTATCTTAACCACAGATCCACATTATCCCATACTGTTTGAATGGGTGACAGAACTCACTCACACATTCATTAGAGATCTCACAAATGCTGTACTATATACTGGTGTAATTATAGACAGTGCTCAGACTCCCAGGAATTTGGAGCATGACATGCACATGTTTGAAGACTACAGTATTCCAATTTGGGTCAACTGGCCCCTTGACTTGAAATCCCCCTTTGACAAGCAACTGGATCAATATTGTCCCTCCCAGGAAGAAGTCACCCGCTGAAGGTTCAACGATACAGCGAGGCACGAACAATGCTCCTGACTGTATCTATAATGTTGTAAGGTCGCGCGTTGCCTAGTCTGCTATACTTGAGACGACAAGTGCGTTCGACCCTAAAGGGGAAGCGAGTGCAGCAAGGATCTAGAGGTATGCGCTGAAAGCGCTACTGGTTGGCCAATGCGAAGCGCGAGAAAGCGCAGGTGCGCGCGAGGCGCGAGAATGCGCGAAGCGCGGGAATGCGCGCGCGTGTATGCGGAAACAAGAGAGGGTAAGAGTGAGTTTGCTTAGGTGATGATATGATGTAAGACAAGAGAAGGGAGATGCGAGGTGTAAACAAATAGATTTCTACTATGTTCTGCTAGGTGAATAGTGGGTAGTAACCAGTAAGTCCTCTGTTGTTCTGGTGGGAGAGTAAGTTCGTCCCGGTGGGTGAGTAAGTTCTAGTATGTACTGCTGGCGCTTAAGTATGGCGCCTAAGCGCTGTCATGCGGAGCCGAAGCGCTACCGAGTAAGGTATGTAAAGATATATGTAAGTAAGGGTCCATGATAAAAATAAAGATGGAACGATAAGCAAATGTGAGAAATGGAAATATACGCACTAGGGAACTTGGTGGACAGTGGATGGATGCTTCCGGATGGCTGGCGCTATAGGGCGCTCAAGCGCGGGAAAGCGCGCGCGCATATACATCGTGAAGCGTGGGAAAGGTACGCGCGCATGGCGCGCGTTGTGCAGGAAAGCTGCGCCTCATATAGAGATAGCTGCAGGTAGCACACAGAGTGATGCTACAAGTTCGTGCCATGTACTCCCCAGTGAAAACTGCCATATTGCACAATGAGAGGCATGAGTCTCTACACCGCATTCAATCCACCAATAATTCATGGGGCACTCAGTTCACCAATGGGTGGAGTTCTGAGTCTACAAGTGGATGGAGTGCTGAGTCTGCAAATGGATGTGGCGCTCAGTCTACGAATGGGTGGGGTGCTGAGTCTACAAACAGATGGGGTGCTCAACCTGGCCACAATTCACAGGGCATTAAGCCCACCAATAACTCAGGTGTTCAGTCCACCAATAATCCATGGGGCCCCATGTCCAACAATCCATGGAGCTCAACCAAGCAACAGATTCCCCACCAGCTGGAGGTATCTGCTGATCAGACACCCAAACTCAATCTCTCCAGCTTTCCCCTTCCAAACAAAGGCAGTGGTCAGAAGCATGGCAAAGATTGGAAGGCCTTTTTTGCCCATAGGCTAGCACAAAATAAGAAAAAGAAGGAGCGAGAGACTCCCTCTGCACAGCAGGTATGTCAGAGCCATGAACATTTGGCAGTGAGTCACAGCCTTTCTGGGAAGTCTAGCAAAGTTTAGGTATTTGAATGGCAACCCCAGAACAATTACAATGGCTTTCTGCTCTGCATGCATATCACAAAGGCTCAGATAGAGAACGTCTGGGGAGACTATAATAACACCACCAGGGTATTTGATTCCTTTTCAAACCAGTGGGACTTGTATCTGGCCATCAATCCAAACAGTATTCCCGATGGTGATGATCGAGAGGACGATGACGACATCATGCCTCCAATGCTTCTCACTATTGCTCCCCCGCCACCACCACCATCATACTCGAGCTTCCTGAATGACATTCGCAGTTATTTCAACAGTCATAAAGTTGCCTCCTCTGCACACTATGATCACATTGAGACCTTTGTCTCTGTCCTGTTACCATCTAGGGTATCAACTTGACACACCTACAACTACTCCTCAGCATGGTTCCACCATGTTTGAAGAATAGATTTGCAAGATGCAATGGCTCCACACATGCAAGCTCATTGGCGATCTAGGCCAAGATTTGATGGTCTCAGAGGAGCAGCAAGGCATCATCAAGTCCTTCCTGGGATATCTAGTGACCTTGTCAGAATTCAAGTTGTCCGATATACAGTCCAATCTTTGGGATTTAGGACCACATCCTTCCTTGTCAGTCTCAAATTCTAACATGCGAGTTTCCTGCACTCTGCTTTCCCAGAAGCAGTTTTACATCATTGAGCCACTTAGACTCAAAGTCTCACTGTCTGGAAGCTTGTGGTCTCTGAGGCCACCACAGCTGTGATGTGCCTCCAGGGTGATTGAGGTTCAGATGTCAGGCATATTGTGCTTTGCCTCATCAAAGAGAGATGGTGTTTAAGACCCTCCAGAAGATGACTGTTGTACCTCACTTCAGGTGCCCTTTCTCCGAACTTCGTGCATACTCACCTGGATGCAAGCCACTCCACTTCAAAGCTGTCTTTGCAGATTATGTGGTATACAAGCAGTGCTGCCATGAGTTTATGAATCAACCACACATGAGGGCTACATTGCTGCATGGCAGACTTATTTGGCAGCTGGCTTTGCACAGTCTCGGCATTGATCACCTACCTTCAGTACTCGATGGCATTTCATGGGAAGCAGTCCCATTTGGTCTCATGCTGTGTAGCAACGATCAAAGTCACTTTGACAATGCATTGCTGGAGGAAGAAATTGAATTTATTTGTGGAATGTATTACATGAATAAAAGTAAGTTTGTTCTAGCCTACGTGACCTCAGCAGTGCTCATGTTTGATTATCCAGATGATGGAAGTGTAGAGAAAGTCTCTTGGTGGCCCAGACCACAGGCCTGGGCTGCGTCCAGCTTGAACATTGGTTTTTGGTCTGCTCAATGTGAAAAGTAGTTTGAAATGTGCCTCAAACATATTCACCAAGGTGTTTCACACTTCCACAATTCAGCTCCCAATGATGCTAATGGGCCGTTGTCCGCCACTCAATGGAAGCGGTCACTCAAATTCAATAACACTACCCTGAAGATGATGAAGAATATAGATGTGGCATGTTATGAATTCCTGTTAAACAAGGCACCTGGTAAGAGCACCTCATTAACCAGCCTCCTTCATGCTCCTGCTGACATCTTGTATAGTTTGGATGGACTCAGATGTGTAGTTGTACCTATTCTCTCATGTTTTTGTTTCAGCTATGTGATGTAGTCCCTTGTAAACTTAGACATATATCTAAAATGTCATCAAAGTGTGCAACTCAACAATTTGTACCATTTTACAACTTAGCTGTATGTACAGCTGAGCTGCCCTTAGACCAACTCAGATATTACCTGTTACAAGTAACATCAGTCACATGGCCCCCCTATCATTTTCCCCTCATCCTCACCCTCACCATCTACCGGCTCATCCTCCTTTACCAATTATCCGTTGACCAGATCCTTGGGACCATTCCCGTCCCTCGCATTGTCCGCCTCTATGCACATGCATGCATGTTCCTCCCCTGACTCGACCACCAATGTGGTCCCACACCTCTGACTCGGTCTGACTCATGCCACCAATGTGGTTTCCTCTTTTGCTCTCTTCTGACTGCGCTTCCTGCACATTGTATTCCTACCATTGGATCATTCCAACATTTCTTGGTCTCATTCCGCATTCGACCATCCATCACTAATTTGGCTGTGTTGCCAACACACCTATACCATTCTCATTTCCCCTTTGCCCTTACCTACAGTGCAGTAGCCTTGCCCTTAACCCTTCCCACTTCATATAAGTAGTCGGTCACCTTGTACTAGATTCTCTAACTTGAATCTACTCAATCTTCCCTGGAACATACTTCCCTCTGAAGCCTCTTCAGCTTCAGTCTCTAGTATCTTTTCTTAAGTGCTCTTTGCACTTAAGTCTACCTCAATCAACACTCATCGTTCGGACAAGACTGTCCTTACTTTGAGCCTGGTGACTTCACAGACATCTGTCTTAGAAGTCACGTGACATGCACGTCTGTGATCGCTGCCAACTAGATGTCACCAGTCTCACTCGCTATACTGTATTCTCCTGGTTATATCATGAATGTTAGTGGACAATGCCCCTCCTAGGGCTCTGCATAACAGATCTATTTGAGTGCGTAACATTACCTCTTCAACCATTGCTCCTTTTCAGTTGACTACTAAGCATCCGTGATCCAATGCTGGCCAGACCATCAACACCAGGGTTCCGATAGCTGTGGAAGCTGTGTTTTCTCCTTGCTATGCTACCATGATTTCAAAATCTCTCACAGTCACACCCCTGCTCAGTTTCATGCCAGGTAATGAGTTTGGGTGGTGAGCGGGTGATGATTGAGTGATGGGTGAGTGACAGGCAGGCAACAGGCAGGCGATGATTGGGTGATGATTGGGTGACTTATTTTGTCTCCAAACACAACTTGAAGTTTTGTCATTCATTTTGTCACCAGTATAAACTTCAAATTTAGAAGGGCATCTAATTGCCAGACAAAACTTGATACATTAGCAAGTATATTGTCTCATCCTAAATTTCAAGTTTTGTCTGAAGTTTTACATGATAATTAAACTTCAAATTTGAGCATGCACAGAAAATCAGATTATATTTCTTGTTGTTATTGATGTATAGTTGGTGGGAATATCATTGTGAAAACTTGATATTTTGGATGTCGTCCAAAACACTACCAAAATTTGAAGTTATGTCCCAACCTTTGTGTCAGTTTAATTTTCAAATATTTTCTTTGCATTTTGTACAACATAAAAATGTCTCCTAAATATTGATAACCCCGATGTGTGAGAAATATTATAGGTTGGGCTGGGTTTAAATTCTTTGTACTATGGGAATGCTGATGTAACATAACATAGATGTGATGGCAGTCCGTCCTCTAACCTATCCCGGAGGCTGTGGATGGGTAGGAGCCTGGCTCGGACATTGATTCAGCATGTGAGCCATGGCTTGCATGAGCCTAAGCCTCAGCTTTGGGCCGGCTTGGGCTCACAGCTCAGGCTTGAAATCTGGTAAGCCTAAGCCCCCCCAGGCCGAGCCTAAGCCAGGGCTTTGAGCCCAAGCCGGGCCAGAACATCACTACCAAGTTGAAGTTCACATTATATTGCTTTAAATACTATTCTCATTTGTTCACCAATCCAATGATGAAACTATTGGCGGTCCCAACAGTATGCATTATGACCATGTCTACTGTTCTAGCACAATTGTCAATCTGCGACAAACGAATCACACATTTGCACATGTGCTGTTAGTCTCATTTTTCTGTTCAGATTGTGTTGCCCAGTTTAACCTCTGAGAGCCGTTTTCAGAACAGTGGGTTTGCACCAGTGCCCATTGCCCATTGACATGAGGCAAAGGGCAATTGCTTGAAGTTGTGTTATGCACAGTCAAGATAGTGCCTCGTTAATGTTGCGTCATACCCTCTGATCGGAACTGCGGGCAGCTCCGCAGTGCTGCGTGTAACTTGAAGGGTTATAAGCAGAAAAGAAAGAGCGAAGTTTGTTTGAAACAACTTACAAGTTGAAGATGGTGATGGTAACGACTCGGAGCAGTCAATCGTCCGCAGCCAAGCGGCAACCCCCAGCACCACGTTTCACAACTTACTCTGTCCAATTACCGCCACTATCCTCCTCTTCATCATCTCCAATGGAGGCCTTTCGACTTCAAAAGAAATACCCAGAAGTTTCCAAAGATGAAATGTTTGATCTCGTAAATCGCTTCAAGTACGGGAGATCTCCTTTCGAAATTACTTGAGTAATAAATCTCGTCCGCAGTGCGATTAGTACCAACACGCCAGGTCGTATAGACAAGAGCGCTGTTCTTCAAGCACTTCAGAATACCGGAGAATCGTATGACAGGGCTCGAGAGACGCTTAAACATGTCTCTGTTGATGCCAGTGGTAAAGTCGAACTCGAGGACTGGGTAGAGGTCCGTACACCATCCATGATGTCATCTCGCACATCACTCATCAGCGATCGTTTGCCAGCTCAATGTCAAACTGCGCACACAAACCAAGGCTTCCGTCCTTCCAACACGAGCAGGAAAGGTTACTGTCCAAGGCTCAAACGCTAATGTCAGTCATACGATCAATGAAGATGAGCGGACGGAATTTACAAATCACATCAACACAGTAAGATCCTCTCATCGCTGTCATTTTTTGTCTTATTCACTCGTCGCAGGTGATCGAGAACGACCCCGACATCGGAAACATTTTCCCAATCCCTACCTCAACCATGCAGCTCTTCGACGAATGCAAAGATGGCCTCATTCTCTGTAAACTGATCAATGATTCCGTCCCTGATACCATCGATACGCGCGTGCTAAACAAGCCAAACCCCCGGAAGCCGTTAAATGCTTTCCAGATGACAGAGAACAACAACATCGTGATCGCGTCTGCCAAGGGTATCGGATGCTCCGTCGTCAATATTGGCTCTTCTGATATCGCAGAGGGGAGGGAGCATTTGATCCTTGGGCTTATCTGGCAAATCATTCGACGTGGTTTGCTTGCACAGGTCGATATCAAGATTCACCCTGAATTGTATCGGCTTTGCGAGGATGGCGAAACTATTGACGATCTTCTACGGTTGACGCCAGATCAAATTCTACTCCGCTGGTTCAACTACCACTTGAAAGCTGCAGGGTGGAAACGGAGGTACGCTCATTATCTATACTTATTGATCCCTTCTCATGCATGATCCACTAGAGTTAACAACTTCAGCCGCGACGTCTCAGACGGCGAGAACTACACCGTCCTCTTAAACCAACTCAAACCAGACCAATGTTCCCTGGCACCTCTCCAAACTAAAGACGTGAAACAACGCGCAGAACAAGTCCTCCAAAACGCTGAAGTCATCGGCTGTCGCAAGTACCTAACACCTTCATCCCTCGTCTCCGGTAACCCCCGTCTCAACCTTGCCTTTGTCGCAAACCTCTTTAATACCTGGCCGGGTCTCGAACCCCTCGACGAACAAGAAGCCAAAGATTACGGTGCTGTCGAGGACTTTGACGCAGAGGGCGAACGTGAAGCACGCGCATTCACGCTATGGCTCAACTCGCTCGGCGTCGAGCCAGCGGTGTTCAATTTATTTGAGAACTTACGCGATGGACTCATCATCCTCCAAGCATTCGACAAAATTTCGCCTGGCTCTGTAGTATGGCGCCGTGTTTCAAAGCCCAAAGGTGGTGCTCAAGCTGCACCTCCAACGATGCTCGATGAGGAAGAGCAGGAAGATATTGGCGTCACTCCCAACCAAAGCACACTTTCCCGTTTCAAGCAAGTGGAGAACACAAACTACGCGGTGGAGCTTGGGAAGCAGAATGGGATGCACCTCGTTGGTATCCAGGGGGCTGATATAGTCGATGGTTCAAAGACGCTCGTTCTTGGTCTTGTCTGGCAATTAATGAGGTACATCGTCTCTTTCACACTACCTACACATCTCAATTCGATTGCAGGTTAAACATCACAAAGACCCTGATGGCGCTCTCCAAGACCGGCAGACCCATCAGCGACACAGACATGCTCAAATGGGCAAACGCAACTGCACAAAAAGGCAAAACCGGCGTTCGACCCATCCGATCGTTCAAAGATCCAGCTATCACTACTGGGCTATTCTTCCTCGATCTTCTGGACGCGATGAGACCAGGAATCGTCGACCCCGCTCTTGTGATTAATGTCAGTGAGAGTGGAGCTTATGAGGATCGGCGACAGAATTGTAGGTTCTTTTGTAAGCGTTGGGGTTTCTCGGATGCTGATTTGTGGTTTTCTTCCTTTCAAGCGAAATTGGCTATCTCTATTGCGAGAAAGATGAACGCGCTGATTTTCTTGGTGCCTGAGGACATAGTGGACGTTCGTCCACGACTTGTGCGTCTCCTTTTATTTCATGGCTGGTCTTCATCGTCTTGCTGATTGTCGCTGCAGATTTTGACGTTTGTTGCAAGTTTGATGAGCATATCGCAGTGATCTGAGCTTGTGTTTTTCCTTTCATTTATCACTATTCTCGCTGTTGTTGTTTGCAAACAAACTCGCTACGTGGCGGACAGTCCAATAAATATACGTTACCTGTGATACTACTATTCTGCCTGAAACGTTTGTGATGTGGTTTGATGACTGTACAAAACCTTGTAATCCAATTATGAATGCATTACAAAGGCTAGTAACTAGGTCTCAGCTGTCTGTGTAGGAGATGAAAGTTGATCGGTAGAAGGTTCTGGTTGTAGCACTAAATTTCCTAGTCTAGGGGGCGTCGAACGCGTGATGAATTCCATTATCGTCGGGAGCTTGTCTGCTGCTTGGCGTAAAGCTGTGAGGGAATGAGTGTGAATAAAAATAGAGATGAATAAGAATTCCTGCCTTCGCGTGCCAACTCTTCTCTAATTGGAGTCCCTCCGATCTCAAATATGACGCGACCGGTGGGAACCCTGCGCAAATGAGCCTCATGATGTATAAGCACAAAGAAGAACACACCGGGTAGCCCAAAACTCGAACGTCCCTTTTCCTTTACCCATACGAGTTTCGTTTCCCTTGAAAACATGTCAAAAGTTCATGTAGAGATCAAACACAGGTATAGCAGACCTTGATGCAAACTGGAATATCAGGAAAAACTCTAAGATAGACTTTTGCGCCTTTGACGACCTTTATTTTGCGCTTTATGACTTCCTCAGCCGTAGTAAGCTGTTTCGCGCTGAAGCGGACGCCCATGCCCTTGATGCGGATACCCCATTCACCGTAAGCAAGTGTAGTACCTTTGGTTGACCCGCCTATGGGTATCGGAACGCGACCTTTGTGTCGTTTGACATGTTGGACTTGACGAGGTGCGAGCTGTGAGCGGAAACGGACGCTGGCTGGCAAATGTGGTACGAGGGTCGTCCGGAGCAATGAAAACATCGTCTTAAGCGTTGAAAGCAGTAAATGCGAGATATTTGCAGTAGAATTAATCAAGACCCCCTTTAGAGGGGTTAAGCGCTAAAGTGAACCTGAATTCGAGGACGACAACCAAAAAGTATGATCCGCATATAACACAGAACAGTAGTGTCGAACGGAGGTATATGATGATATCCCAAATTACAAATGACCGAGCCACCGCAAACCCGATGAAATCCTATTCTCACTTCCTCATCAACTTCTCCCTCAGTTCTGCCCCCCGCAGTTGTGCCCGCAGATACTCCAGCCGCACTTGACATCGTGCAGTCACCTCTGCTCGCCGGCGTCTAATGTCATTCAACTCGCTCTCGAGCGCCGAGATGGATACATCATCGTCAGGTACTTCACGCACCGGCGAGTTGTGCACAGTTGATGGGAGGTGAATAGAAGAGTCTCGTGCAAGGTTAACAGAGGATACACTGCCTAGCTCCCGCAGCTTGCTGGGGGTGAGTCCTGGCGAGGGGTGCGAAGCGTACATCGAACCGTTTGTGGGCACGCGGGCGCGGGACGATATGGATGATATACTACGCTTCCTTGCCGACACAGATAATGTTGATGGCGGAGCACGTAACGAGGGATTCCGGTATGACTGCGGCTGTGAGCGTGGTTGGCTAACACTGGAGGCTGCTGACGCAGAGTACATGGATTGAGCATCGGCCTCGCAGGGTGTGCCTCTCCCGGTGCTTAGGTATCCACTGCCTTCACATTCACTTCCCCCGCCTCTACCACCACCATTTTCACTTCCCCCACCTCTACTACCATAATCACTCCCTCCCGTTCCAACGCGGACTCGGCGCACAGAAGGTGTTTGCGGTGGATGACGTCGGGTCAGTGAGGTAAGCTCAAGCCCATTAAACGCATCAAGTAAGCGTCTGCCCTCAGCTTCAAGCGTCGCAATTTGGAGCTTCAGCTCTGATGAGGATAGATGATCGGGATCGGCGACATTCGTAGGTACTGAGAGAGATGGAGTTCGCAAGTGCAATGGAGAATGCGAGGACGTGCGTGGGACTGTTGATATTGGGGGTACGGGTGTGGAGGGCGAGCCAGTTGTGCTATTGAGACGGAAGGAGGATGGGGGAGGGGTAACCGGTCCTGTTTGAAGACGGCGGAGGGACCGATACGGGCTGCTTCTTTCTCCGTTTCCAACATTGATACTGCTGGTACTCGCACTCATATACTGCATATCACCCGTATGCGGCAGGTTCTCCGATGTCAGAGAAACATCACTTTGCATTTGTGGAGGAAATGGCCGTCGAGATGTACCGCTGGAGAAGATGGACGTATCGTCTGTTGTTGCAGTGAGGGCTGTGTGGCCTGAGATTCGAGAAGAGCGTTTAAAGAGAGTGCTCATAGCAGAAGAGATAGAGGATCTGGAGCGGACAGACGGTGAACGACTTTTGGCGGAAGCCAGGTTGTAGGCTGGAAATTTTAGAGAACGAAGTTGAAATCAGTCTCTTCAAGATACATATAGCGCAAGGCTCACCGTTCAGTGGGTGCGAGACAATGGGGACAAGAGGGGCTTCCTGCGGGACTGAGCTACCTGAAGCAAGTCGTTCGAAGATGTTTTGCCGCAGAAGACGGTATTCATCGTCACTGTGAGCGGAATCAGCATGGTGAGAGGTTCGACGTGAACATAGAATATAAATTTTGGCCAGGAAACACTGCGTCAACACATGTGGGTGCAATGATCGCTACCACAACACACAAGTCACGTCCTCAGTCTCAAAACAAACTCACTCGAGCAATCCCTGAGAATTTGCGGCAGCAAGTTCATCGAGACGTTGTGCAAGGGTGGTCCTATAAGCAGGAGAAGAGGAGAACATGAGCGAGCGGTGTAATTGACAGTCGATGCAAGACGTACGTGATCACGTCTGTATGTGTACGTGGAGTATCTTGTGATGATGGTAAGAACTGCTCGGTGCCGAGAGGGGAGCGCCCAGCGCTGAGACGGTGGAGATTGTGGTCACTGTGCCCAATCATGGAAGGATGGTGCGTCTCGCGTGCCTTGCCTTTGTACTTTCCGTACTGCGGTGTTCGCAACCCCCCATCATGGTCAGCACATTATCCCATCAAAAGAACGGATAGAAACACGTACGAATCTGGAACGGATGACCTGGACCATTGACATGGACACGGAATTGTCGTTATGGATGTACGACTGGGACTCGTCCACTATCCTGCGCGACGAGAAGAAGCCCATGGTTATATGCGAATAACTATAATGAACGTTACACGAAACGAATTGTTATGTTTTTGTTATGTTTTCTTGTCAGTACCAGCACATTGCGGATGCAGAAGCGGTGCCAGGTGCGATGCCTACGTCGTTGTCGACATTGGACTTGGACTTCTGCCACCTTGTTTACAACATAACTTACTATTACACGCTAAGCACTAGCATTAGACTTTGACACTTTGTCTGTTGGACCTTCACATTTTTGACAAGTTTCAAAAATTACTGTCCTAACCGTTGTTAATCGTTCTGTTTCTCTTTTCAGGTTTACACGCTCAACTGCTCGAGATGATATCGTCAAAATATAGAGCGCTCAGTGCTGTCACCCGTCTTGATAGTCGTCTTATTAGACGTTCCCTCATTTCCACTCAATCTACTGACCAGGGCATTCCACCCCCACTCACGGGTATCAGAGTCCTCGACCTCACTCGAGTGCTAGCAGGTCCATCATGCACCATGCTTCTCGCAGACATGGGTGCAGATGTCATCAAAGTTGAGGAGGTTACCCGCGGCGACGACACTCGTGAGTGGCCTGTGCTAGCCTATCCGTTATTTATCAGGAAAAAAACAGGCTCCTGGCTACCTCCTTCTGCTGCTGTCTCCTCGAATTCTCCGAAAGAAACGTCACACCTTCCTCCTGAATCTGCATATTTCCTTGCTGTGAATAGAAACAAACGTTCTATCACTGTGAATTTCAAGGACCCTGCGGGACTTGAGGTTATGCAGAGGCTAGTTCGCACTTCCGACGTGCTGGTGGAGAATTTTATCGCAGGAAAGCTTGCAGGGATGGGTCTCGGTTGGGAGCACTGCAAGGTGCTCAACCCACGGCTTGTGTACGCTTCCATCACCGGTTTGTCTGAGCTTCACTTTGCCTGATATCAGTATTCAGTTCATCTGATGCAATCAGGGTACGGGCAGACAGGCCCATTCCGCGAAGCCGCGGGTTACGATGTCATTATTGAAGCCGAAGCTGGGCTGATGCACATGTATGTATGCTGTGCTGCAGACGCTTATAAATGATAACTTGAATTTTATGTCTTGCTTTTCATGGATCGTAGCACAGGCGAACCTGATCGTCCACCATCTAAAGTAGGCGTTGCGGTGACAGACTTGATGACAGGTCTTTACGCACACGGTGCCATCCTTGCTGGTTTGCATTCCGTACAGCATACGGGAAAAGGCGTTTGGATAGACTGCAACTTATTTGAGACACAGGTACAGTGGCTATCACATGTTTATATCCTTGTCTGGCTTTCCGATGCTTACCAGTACGGTTTCTGTCATATATACTTAGCTTGCGGGTCTTGCGAATATAGCGTCGAATTATCTTATCGCCGGAAAGGAAGCCTCTCGGCACGGAACTGCCCACCCGTCCATCGTTCCTTACCAAGTTTTCCCATGCAAAAACGGATTTCTCATGATTGGCGCGGGCAACGACAAGCAGGTGGGCAGCATCACTGATAAGCAGTTCTAGACGACCTGACTCTGAGACACATGTGACACTAGTTCCGCCTGCTTGCCGAAAGGATTCTGGAGAAGCCCGAGCTGGCAGATGATGCAAGGTTTGCTAATAATGCTGCGCGGGTAGCAAACAGGGAGGCATTGGTGGACATCATTACACAAGTGCTCCAAAGACACGAAAGGGATTATTGGATCGGTCGCTTCACGGGATTAGGGTGCGTCGTGCATGATGTGTACTTATGTACGATCCATTTGCCAAGATATTCACACGCGCATGTCCGTGCAGGGTACCATTTGGGCCAATCAATAATATCCAACAAACATTCGCGCACCCGCAAGTTGGCGCTCGGAAGGCTACGGTGGAGGTTGATGTACGTACCCCTCGTCCTCGTGTGTGATAGACTTCGTTTTGATTATGTCGAATTGATTAATTGAACAGCACCCACGAGTAGGGAAAGTGAGGATGGTGGCTCCACCTGTTACTTACAATGGAAAGCGGATGCCGGTAAGACGACCACCACCCTGGCTGTCACAGCATACAAAGGAGGTACGTGCGCATGCCAGTGATATCTTTGGTTCACCACCCTCATTTTGTTTATTGAATTGTGCATTGTGTTTTTTTTGGTTTCTGATGGTGAATTGGTTTTAGGTCATGCTGGAACTAGGGTACTCTCAGAACGAGATCGCCGAATTGAGGGCTCGAAAGATTATCTGAGGCAATGATTTATACTGATCTCATTGAGAGTTTGGGTCTTGGGCGCGGGTCCGCCGGCCAGGGTGTTATTTTGTAGAAAATGAGATGACGATCTGGCTCAGATAGCCAGTGGAATCGTGAATCTGTCAATGATGCTACATATTTGGTTGCGGCACTGCGGCGGCAACAGATAATCAGTAGACTACTTTAAGCATAGCCCCGAATCCTACAGCCTAACGTCCTAGTGCCGCTATCCCGATTGTTATTTCAGAACGCTGTCTTTTGTCAGTGAACAAGGCCAGGATTCTCTTCATGTCTCCTGCTCTGCGTGCTCGTTCGCCAAATATCATTGACGATATTGTCAAGCGTCCACCACCGTCTCCTTCCGACAAAGCCCCACCACAAAAGAAGCTAGACGTCAAATCGCGACCTGCCTCGGAGGAGTCAACGCCGAAGGCAGCCTCACCTATCACTCCAGCAAAGGAGAAGAGCGACCTGAAAGAGGTTGAGAAGAAGGAGAGCAAGGTATGTCTCCAGCTTAAAGTGGTTTATTTGCACGCATGCACTTGGAAGCAGAGCGTTCGCCGGGAACCCCGCACTTAGCCCCTGCCCATCTCGTCATCTTGTTTATCTTGTGATGATGATCACTGATTGCACCACCAGCCCAGTAAACAAGATATAATCGATATGGAAGTCTTCAACCAGATAATCGAATTGGATGATGGGGACAGCTCATTTGTATCAGCGATGGTGACCGAGTACCTTGAGCAGGTCGATTCCACATTTAATGATATGGATAAGGCCATGTAGGTCTTCTTGTTATTGGAATGACTGTTCTAGAATCTGACTTTTCTAATGCAGGGAAATCAAAGACTTAATGGAAATATCGCAGCTAGGACACTTTCTGAAGGGCTCATCAGCCGCGCTGGGCGTGAAGCAGGTTTCATCGACTTGCGAGAAGATACAGAACACAGCCAAGAGTGCACCTACGGACAAGACCATTGAAGAAGTGACTTCGTTACTAAAACGTGTCAAGGAGGAGTACGGTGCGGCAAAGATTTGGTTACTGGAGTTGTCCAACGTGATAACATGACATTCTCTACTGAGCTTGCTCGTTACCATACCCAAGAGTTCAGGTTGTATGATTTTCACTGTACTCTACCTATCTAAGTAGTAACTGCCACACTTACGCTTGGCTACTTCCATCCTTTGTTTTCACTCCGCAATGTTCCACTATATGCACTAGTTCCAGATACAGTGTACTACATCTTTACATCATTTCGTAAACTACTCAAGCTCACTCCACATCACTACTTTGTGTGGTACACTTCAGTGAACTTTCAAGTACCAGTGAAAGGACGACGCGTGAGGTCACGCGTCGCGCTTCAGCACTACTCTTCGGCATGGACAACGATGACCTCGTCCTTCCCACTCCTGTCAATTTCCCAGCATTTCCTTACGACCCGCCTTATTGGATACAAATGGACTTGATGAGTCACGTCTATACGTCAATTGAGAAAAGGCAGGTTACCATCGTGGAGAGTCCTACGGGCACCGTGAGTGTTTGCACCAGCTGACTAGCAAATTTCTGATCCGGCAAGAGGATTAGGGTAAGACACTAAGTTTGCTGTGCTCGAGTCTATCATGGCTTGTGGACGAGAAAGACCGCGCGCGTAAAGGCCAGCTATCGCAACCGTCCCTCTCGAGTACCGGTCAGTGGTAGTCTCTGTTGATCTTGCAAGCAACATCTTAAAGCCACATCAGCACCATCATGGGTGGCAGCTCAGGCTCTCGATATCCGGAAGCGTGAGCTAGAGGCAGAGGATAAAGAATACGAGGAGCGCCTTGCCAAAGCTCGGAAGACCGAGGCTCATTTCCGTATACTGGCTCGGGCCCGGGTTACCAAAAAGCAAGTGCGTGCGCTCGAATTCATGTCTCAGCTCAACCTATTTACTCTATACAAGTAGCGCGTCACAGTCGATCCTGTTCAAGGCCATGTTGACGAGGACGCATACCTTCCGGACGACGACTGCGAAAACAACCAAGATAACTTCTCCCCCGCTGTTCGCGCTCTAATGGCAAAGTCAGGGTTGAGCTTTGCTGGTGTGAGACCCAACTAACGTGTACGAACAGAGTGGACAAGAATAACAAACGTGATCCAGCCTCTCAAGGAGACGAGCCGTCTTGCACGAAAATCTACTATGCGTCTCGCACACATTCCCAACTTTCACAGGTCCTACCCGAATTGACCAAGCTTAAGTTCAAACACCTCGCCTTGGGCGGTGCTGTTCCAGATGAGAGCACAATGAGAAACATGTCTCGAGTTGATCGCGATCCTTGCCAAAAGAAACGGACCTTTGGGGATGTAGATGGTGATAAGTGCGAAGTCGATCAGCGTCAGTGGCGGACCGTATCACTTGGGTCTCGCAAACAGCTGTGTATCAATGAGGACGCAAGGTCAAGACCGGGAGATATAGACGAGAAATGTCGAGAATTACTGGAAGGTACCCAACTTACTTATGACCCGCGTATTCATTGACCGTCGAAAATATGCTCACAGGGAAGAAAAATACACGCTGTCAGTATTTACCTCCGGTGGGTGACGAGAGCCGCATGCTTGATCTGCGAGATCAGATTCTGGTTGGTGAAGGTGATCCATTCGATTGAACAGTGCTGATGGGTTCTTTTCAAGGCATCGCCGAAAGACATAGAAGACCTTGCCACTTCTGGGAAAAATATACAGACTTGCCCTTATTACGGATCTAGACGAGCGATTCCACAGGCAGAGGTCAGCAGATAATCTCACTGATGTGCCTTCCTGGGTCTCATACTGAATTTTCAGCTTATTACTCTACCTTATAACCTGTTGTTGCAGAAGACGGCCCGAGATACTCTGGGGATCGACTTGACTAACCAGGTGGTCATTATTGATGAAGCGCATAGTAAGCATCTCACCTAGACCGCCCTTTATACCGGCTGATTTTGCTTTAGACTTGATACCAACTCTATTGTCCCTTTCAAGTGTCCGCCTCACATCCAGTACTCTATCGACCTCGTTGAAACAGGTCTCAGTGTATTACCAAAAATTTCGCAACCGGCTATCTGCAATGCATGCATTGCATCTGAAGAGGCTTCTCAATTTCCTGGATGCATTCCAGAGAGTCGCAATGGATTGGATGGCACAAAAATTGAGCGCCAAATCCAAAAGGCAAGATACTGAAGTCATGACTGTGCCAGATTTCATCCACAAGCTCGGGAGAAAGGTCGAGGGTATTAATCTCCTCGAAATTGAATCGTATCTTAAGCGCAGCAAAGTACGTTGCACTAAATTCATTAGATGTTTTTTTTTCTGATTACTCGCAGATAGCACGGAAGATATCTCGTTATGCTGTCGATGTTTCTGAAGGTTTGTCACCCTGACAAGGGCACAATCATATCTCTGAGTTTGTAGGGGAGAAACCTGAGAGACAGTCATCGGGTGTGGCCACTCCGCCACTGCATACGATTGAAGCACTAATGTTGGGACTAGCGGGCGCAAGTGAAGGTGAGCTAAGCGGCGCCGAAGTTGTTTCTTTGTTCAACATTGTTACAGATGGGAGACTAATCTTCTCTGCTGTCGGTGATGCTGTGGAGATTAAATACCAGCTGCTGAATCCATCGGCATTATTCCGTGATGTCGTGGAGTCGGCGCGTTCAGTGGTGCTTGCTGGTGGAACCATGTCGCCGGTAAGCAGCCTCCATTAACAGTTTCTCGCAATACGGTGATGTCGGGGATAGATTTCTGCTGTAGTGTCCGAGCTTTTCACATACTTGCCTCCAAACAGGCTGACAACTTTCTCTTGTGGTCATATCATCCCGGCATCTAGTGTGCAGACATTGTTGCTTACGAAAGGGCCTTCAGGCTTGGACCTGGAGTTCAAGTTCGCACAGCAGAGTAATCCGCAGGTCGTGTCCGAGTTAGGTCAAATCATATTGAACTTCTGCAACGTCGTGCCTGGAGGAATAGTTATCTTCTTCCCTTCCTATGCGTCATTGAATTTTGCAAGAGAAGCTTGGAGTCAGAGTGGATTACTGGACAAATTCAACGTGAAGAAAAAAGTAAGTGTCTCTAAGTAACAGGAGGCGGCTCATTGACTATGTTTTAGGTCTTCTTGGAGCCCCAGGAGAGTTCAGGGGTTGAAATGATCCTGAGGGAATATGCTACAGCTGCCAAAACACATGTAAGTTTAACAAACTGTAACATCTTCGCCATCATGACTATTTTTTTAAGATGCCACTAGATAAGAAGACTGGCGCGGTACTATTTGCAGTTGTCGGTGCCAAGCTTTCAGAAGGGCTAAATTTTTCAGATGATCTCGCCCGTGCTGTTGTTGTAATCGGGTTGCCTTTTGCCAACAAAAATTCCCCAGAACTACAGGAACGTATGCGATACGCGAATCAAACAGAGGTACGATCCGGTATAAGGAGGCCTGTTGGTGGCAAAGACGCAGCGACCGAAATGTATGAGAACATGTGCATGAGCGCAGTCAATCAGAGTATAGGTAAGCACGTGCGACAATGTTAGTATACTTAAACGCTTACCAAGCCCTAAACAAGGCCGAGCCATCCGACACCGTGGGGATTGGGCTTCTCTCGTACTTATTGATCGACGGTTCACATTGCCTGCGATTCGCGGAAAACTACCACAATGGCTAAGAGATGATGTGGCAGTCTGTGAGACTTTTGGCCAGGTGATGAAGCATTTAGGAAATTTCTATCGAGAGAAGAGACAACGTATAGTGTACTGATTTGGATGTAATGTAAGTATGTTGAGGCATGATGACATAGTGAGCTCCGTGAGGATAAGCTGTCACGTCTGCTAGGTCCAAGCCTATGTTGAGCGCTGCAGAGCCTCCAACAGAACTGGCCACGAGAAGTATGTGAATTTATCCAGTCGGATTTGGGTATGCAGCTTCATTCAAACGGGTCGAACGTTTTTCAAGCTCCGCTCGCCCTCTATACACGTGACGTTGTTACTATGTTACTCCCAAATAAGAACTTGCAAAGGGGAGGCTGCGGGCCTGCGGCTCGTAATCTGACGGGTCGTCTCGGGGATTCCAGGACTGTCCACGGTCATTATCGCGGATCATAGTTATGATCCTTCAGGTACTCATCAGATGAGCCTCCGGGACGGCCTTTCTGGATCACGGTACAGTAAGTAGTTCTGCGCCCAAACGAATTATAATTTCATTTCGAAACCCGTTCACGTTTTATGACCGCGGTGGTGCGATGCAGATATGCAACCTACCCTATTCATACTCAAATGCGCAACCTCACGCCGCGAAATTTCACAATCAGTCACTCAGAGGGCACCTCCTTCGTCAGACGTGCCAGTGTGTTCGCATTTACACTTGCATGTTGTCTTTGAAAACTTGGTCGTGGCAACGATTTCAAAGCAGCGACTACAATAGCCTCGATATCAGGAGTTCGAGTACAGATCCAAATTATTTTATCACCATAACCTCGAGTGAAATTGTAGAAAGAACTCGAATTGTGCCAGGTATCATTAATATTCGCCGGTGGGGTCAAATGATTGACCTGGATATTTGTCACGGGTGACAGTGTGGCAAAAGGTGGCATCTGGCAGGAGTTCTCCATACCCAGTGAAATCTGACGCGGAACGCCTGTATGTATATATAGATCTACATTCCTAATACAGAAGGAACGTTTAAATGTAATCACAAATTGTCTGGGTCTTCCTTGTAAATATTGGGCCTGCCTCGTCACGAGAGACTAGGCAATAGGAACACTAGTGTTCTTGCTCGCACAAGTGCACCACAAACACAAAGTCCAGTGAACATGGACGACCACGACAACCAGGAGCTGTCCACGACGCCCACTCCAACCAGTCACCTGCATCTCCACCGCAGCAGAAGTCATAGTTCGCACTGGTCACCCACTGAGACACCAACGCACCATAATGTAGGGACGTCCTACGTTCATTCCTCGTCACCGACGCCGCGGGCACCGTACCCACAGCCATCCATTAGCCATAGTTTATCAAACAGCCGCACCCGCAGCACTAGCACCAACAGCTCTCATCGCCCTCGCCGTCCAATTAGGGACAACGATGGCATGCTCAGCCAGGATGAAGAGGTTAGCTATGAAGATCAAGTCAATGATAGAGGTATTGGGGGAAGCAGAGATCGTGGCAAAGGCACTGCACCCTCACAAGACCAGGAAGGAGAAGTGGAAGAAGGAGACAGTGAAGAACGAGAGACAGGCTCGGAACACGACGACTCAAACAGCAGAGATGATGACGATCCAATCACAGTTAAAGATCGTCAGTCGCTCATCAACGTTCAGCACCCTTTTGGTTTGCCTATCTGGAAACCTGCATTATACAAGAAATCGCGCTCCGTCACTCGCCATGCGGATGCCGCGCTACACTCTGTCCCCTCTGCTCAAGCAGAGCGCCACCTCCTCCCAGGAAATATTTTCTGGGTTATCTGCTTTGGCTGGTGGCTTGCGCTGGCCTGCTTTGCTGTCTCTGCTTTGTTATGTCTCGTTCCACTTGGTGGCAGACGCTATGCTGTACTCATGTTCGGTTTGGGCTGGTACCTCGCATGGCCATTTGGCAAGTATGTCAAAGGGGATACTCAAGGCAATGACGAAGAAAGCACACTCCCACCTGAGGATGTTGGTAGTGCTAGCACTGTAGATGCCAACCCGTCCCTCTCTCGCACGCCCACAATCACCCAAAATACCAACAGTGAACGAGCTTTTCTGCGCCCTCCAGCTCCCTCCAAATCCTACGGAGCTGTCCCAAGTCCGACCGACCGCATGCCGTACGAGAAGATTTCCGCTGACTGGTTGGGCAGGGCTATTTTCTGGATCCTATTCATAACGCTCGTTGCCCCACTCCTTCTGCTCACCTGTATCGCCTGCTGGGCACTTATTATCACTGTCCCAATGGCCAAGCTTAATTGGGCTCTCATCAAATACATATTCGCATCTCCTACTAGGATACGCTTCTGTGCTGCGCCTCTCGTTCCACCTAGTGCAGTCAAGACACCCCGTCTCGCAGCTGGTCAGGCTGTCCCCTCTACCTCTGGCCATAGGAGTACCGTACTGCTATGCGTCTATCGCGCTGTTGGGTGGCAATACTACAAATACACTGTCGGAGGCGTTAATATCATTTTCGTCAATCTCCTCCCGCTTGTCTTCTTCGTTATCCTCGATGGATTCGTGCTCATGCCGAAGGCAGAAGATCTGGAGGAAGCAGGCGAACATGTCCCTCGCATCCTCGCCCTCGTTGCCTCGAAAGCACTCATTTTCCTCATGAGCCTTGCGAGCGTTATTCCTCTCTCTTACTTCATTGGCATGGCTGTGGCGAGCATCAGCGCCCAAAGCTCTATCGGCATGGGCGCCGTTATCAATGCCACATTCGGAAGTGTCGTCGAAGTCGTCCTATATTCTATCGCGTTGACTCAAGGCAAGGGACGTCTCGTTGAAGGGTCTATCGTGGGATCTTTATTAGCGGGAGTACTGCTGATGCCCGGTATGAGTATGTGCGCTGGCGCGTTGAGGAAAAAGGAGATGAAGTTCAATGCCAAGAGCGCAGGCGTAACGAGCATGATGTTAATCATGGCATTTATTGGAACGCTAACACCAACATTGTTTTATCAAACATATGGTAATGTACGTTTTTTACTCCCTTTATTTTTCTTTCCGGCAGAAAACATATATTAACACTGCTTACAGTTCCAGCTGGTTTGTAGTGGATGTCCTGACGGCTCCCGCCGCTCGTCCGAGTGGAGATGCGACCAGTGTTACTATCAACACCCTGATCCTGTTGAAGATCCATTTTATCAGTCCACAGTGAAGAGCCTCATGTACTTTTGTGCTGTGATCTTACTGTTTGTGAGTCCCCTTCTGTTTTTATGTGTACGACATTCATAACCCTTATACTCGCTGTAGTCGTATTTGATAGGCCTGTGGTTTTCTCTCCGCACACATGCCACTCAGATATGGCAGAACCCACAACCGCTCCTGCAGCCCCTCGACCTTCCAGCCACGCACCCATCTCGTCTTTCGCTCTACCAACATCACCGTCCTCACTCCAATGCAACCACAATCAGTGCAGCGCAATCCCCGCCGTCGCAGATTCCACCGATTATTCGCGAGCCACGTTTGCGACCAGATGGGTCCCATGAACGAACGCGACTGGAGGACGATCCCCGGTTTCAGACCCCGGCTCCACGTCTTACCGTTCCAACGGCGAATACAGTGTCCCCCACTTCCCCTTCGATTCTTCGACGTGTTTCATATGTCCCGCACACTAGTCCCCAAAGCGCCCAATCTCAAACACAATACACACCTCTTCTTGAGTCCGTTGACCATGCCATTAAGTCTACCGGTGCCCTGCCCCTTCCCTCTACTATGTCCACCGATGACTTTACGCGTGCAGTAGCTGTTGCGACTGTCAGCGCCCTTCGCCACCAGCACGCACATACTCGGGCGGCTCGCGCAAGCGTGGCTGAGGAGGAACATGGAACGGCTCACGGACATGAGGCGCCAGAGTGGAGCCGTATAACGAGTGCGGCAGTATTGCTGTCATGTACGGCTTTATATGCCCTCATCGCTGGTACGTCTACATTTGCATTGCCGTTTTGTTGTGGCTGCTGATTAATCGGGGCACTAGAGCTTCTTGTGGATATGGTGGATGTCGTACTAAAAGGCTCTGGGATTGAGGAAAAGTTCTTGGGAATCACTTTGTTCGCGCTGGTGCCCAATACTACGGAATTCATGAATGCTATTTCATTTGCACTGAACGGAAATATCTCGCTAAGGTACTCTTTGGCCTGTTTGTCTCCCTTCATCCCTAACCAACTCCCCTTCTTTCCCAGTGTTGAGATTGGTTCTGCCTATGCCTTGCAAGTCTGTTTGCTCCAGATTCCAGCCATGGTTGCGTTCTCCGCCTGGTATGCGCCCGACAAAATGGGCGAGATCGCAAATACATTTACGTGCGTATCAAACCATCTCTCGATGATGTCATCATTCATTTACGTTTATCTTTCCCCAGGCTTGTATTTCCGCGCTGGGATGTCATTGCGATCATCTTGTCCGTCTTTCTGATGACCTATACCTATATCGAGGCCAAGAGTAATTACCACCGTGGAAGTATCCTCATTTTGAGGTAAGTATCAACCTTGGGTTATATGTACGTCGTATTAATTTGTCACAGCTATGTTGTCCTTGTTTCCGGATTTTATTTCGCTCCGCGTAACTCTAATGACCAGGAAGATATCGTTGTGGCTGGGGATGTTGGGCCTCTTTCTGTCGTCTCACAATTGTATGCGGCCGTCTGGTCGTAGGAAGACTAGTACTATGACCATGCAGCTAAATTCCCACCTTCCTTGTTCCAACTACCATCCGTTCGTTTGATATAACGATCACATCGTTGCCAATAGTCGTCGATTTTGTCTTCATAAGGGGTACTCTCATTCGCTTGGTACCAATATTGATACATTACGGCATGTTTGTGATTCGATGATCAATGATTGGTTTAGAGTAATCGAATTGCAACTTTGTTTATTCCCCTCGCTCGATCAATGCATGCTTTGCATGCTCTCAAGCACCTTCTGAATCCTGTCTGCCGATATCGTGAGTTTTTCAGGCTCACTTTGTCCATCCATAATCCGTTTGAGCGCCTGGGGGTTTCCCACAAACTGTAAGAAGCGCTCGAGGAAGTCGCCATCAAGGAATCCGAAGGATGACGCATCTGCGTCACTGCGACCGCGGACATTCTTTGGCGCGCGGTACCTATGCGCAAAGTGAATTGAATGATTATTGAAGGTACTGGCTCATGACGCACTTTGTGTGATTTGGCCCTTCTTGTTTCTGGATATAGTTGGACAGGTTCCGTTGAAGGCCTGTGAGATCCAAGGCAAGGTCATCGGCAAGGTCGATGATCACACCGATAAGGCCCGCAGACGTGAAGAACAATTGTTGGGGCTGCATCGGCGAGTCGAGCGAGACCTCCTGAGACGACAATGTGCCTAAGATGCGTAAGTATGGGAAAGTGACGATACAGCGCACACGTACCAGGCAGGAACTTGTTGACCAAGTCCCCAAGGAAGTAATTCCCGTCTCTCTCGAGGAGCTCCCGCGTTCCCGAGTCCTGGAGACTGAATGTATAGAGGTTGTATTCACTCTGAGCACAAGAGAATAAGTGTACAACGTCAAACAATGCACTTCAGCTTACATTTGCACCAATCAGGGTGGAGTCACTCATGAGCTCGACACAGGTGGGCCATAGTGGGCCATAGTCTCTGGCAATCAAGTGCAGTCGGCTGTCCTCGAGCCGCAACATCGAGATCGAGCTGATTGCATCACCTAACAGAATTATATCGCCGCGAGATGCGAGGCTCGTCACTAGATAGTTGTGGTTCCAGGTTGCTATTTTCGCCATTATCATATTTCCGCTCTCTGTGTCCATCTTGAAGACAACGACCTGCGGGGCAAATGAGCAGTTGCGTATACAGTTTATAGGCTGGTTCGTTACCATGCTATTAACTGCCGCAGCGATCATAGAATTCACGGAAGTCAAGGCGTAGGGGCATCCCTTGACGTCATACGAAGTTACGACAGACATGTTTACCTGCAATGCATTCGACGTCATTTCCAAAGTAAAAATACGTCCCTTGGAGGCTTCGGTGTCTTCATCTTCGAGCGTCACTGCTGCTACACACAGATAGGATCCGGAATTTGCTGTGAAGGACAACAGTGACGTCGGTTCCTCGCCTTGCTCCAGATTAAAATGCCCGAGCTCTATTCATATCATTAATGACCATCTTACGCGTTGAACCTAACTCACTATTGAACGATATGTCGTCAAAGACTTGTATGGAGCCATTGATATCCTCTACATCTCCGATGCGAGCCGGGGTTATGTAACGGCATGCGACGGCAAAAACTCTAAGCGCAGGAATATGCGTAATGCGTAAGGGATTGTTGAGGCCGAGAGGTATCTGAGAACTAACTGTCAGCGGGACTCCTGTGGAACGACAAGTACTTTAACTTACAGAGCGAATATGTAATTTATCAAAGTTGTTCACGTTCCCAAAGACCAGGCCATCGGAGTTGGCAAGGACTATGGACGATGGGTAATTACTTGTGCTCAATTCCGCTGCAGCTGTCACATCCTGCAAACACGTTGGTCAAGAATACTGACGCGAAAAATGTCACATACCTTGAGTATAAGCGGCGAATACATCAATCTCTCTTTCTCCCAGAATAAAATTGCTGTCCTGCTTCCACACGCAAGCACTGTTTGTCTCGCACCAATCCGACACGAACGCATTGTTACGGGAAGACTTCCGATGGAAACCAATTTCTGATCAAGCAATTGATCATTTCGATACAGAAATGACGCGATGGAACCATCCGTAAGCCCGATGAGTAGGTGTACATTTGAGAACTTGGAGTCATCAGACGTGAAATTGTACAACAGCAGTGAGCGGGGTGCAGAGGGGAGTACAGGAGACGTTGTAACCGTGGGCATGGTTCCATCCACAAGTCTCAGTGAGAGTATCTCGACGTGCTTCGATGTCCAGAATCCGACCACAATATTTAACGCGAAACGCTTGGCTGGATCCTGTGGAAGACACGAGACGGCTGAAATCTCTGCATCACGATTATTGTGCACAAAATTGCGTTCTCTGCAATGATGGACAACAATCAAATCAAATCTTCACCTAGATGTTCAGACTCACCTCAGCTTGATAAATCGTTTGTCATCCAGAGTCAGCAGCACCACCCTCCCCCAGTTGAGTGCAAGCACAACCTGGCTCGCGTTGATACTCGCGGCTACGATCTCTCGCCCCTTCCACAGCCCCTCTTTACCAGGATCTGCAAACTTTTCCAAGGTCCATGGTTCACCAATTCTGGTGTATTGTTGCACATCAGGGTCATACTCAAGTAATAACAGGCCCTTCGAAACAACCTGTATAACATAACTAGAATCTGCATAGTCGGACTTGTTTTCCGCGTTGTACGTGCGTCGAAGGATATTTGAGACTGCGATGGTAGGTAAATCGATGATAAAACCAGTGTTCTTGTCCCCGTCAATGCTGGAGATCGATGAAGCGTTGTCAAAACGAAAAACATGCGTTTCCTGCAAAGTTGAGACCACGACATGTGCATAATCGCTTGATTTTATCATCAGCAGTTCTAAAAGAGGTCGGGACGAATGACAAACTTACGGTGCACGGTACATTACTTTCAATGGCCAGATCTGGGTGACATTCCCGAGCCCCTGAACTATCGCTTTTTCGGAAAAGTCAGCGCCACTCCGTATGACTTTGATGCTTCCCGTGCTTCTGCCACCAGAGCATGTTACAATTTCGTTCTGCATCACCTCAGCGTCCAAAGTCAGTAGACAGTCATTTGACATACCTGTCCACTGCCATCAGCGTCGATCAGCACAGCATCAAGTATCGGAGCGAGGTTGCTGAAGGACTCCAGCTCAGTGACATAACTCCCCAATCCAACGACAACATAACCTGATGCATCGGTGTTTCTACCTGACACATGGGAGTTGAGTGCGTTAGGGCTGATGGTTGGTATCGTGGATGGAACAGGCAATGTACGGGCGTCAAACGCAAAAGATGGAGTAGTAGTAATCTGGAGCAATTGCGAGCTACCAAAGTGCGAACCATTGTAGAAAACTTGATTAGCAAGGTAAGTTAATGTAGTTGGTGCAGACGTCTTAGTAAAGATGATCAGAACGAGAACGACCAGCGGGACTTGAGCAGACCTACCTCCCCGAGTGCCATCAATGCCAGCGTTGTGCCTCCAGAGAGGTTTATCGAAAGCAACGCGAGCTTTCCATAGCGGTCCCCAATCAAGTACTTCCGCTTGTCGTCAACATGACACCATCTAATATTGGTGAGCCCGTAGCCTCGATCCTACAAACGGAACTCACGCAGTGACTTCTGCCCATGGCCATTCTACCGTAGCCCTAGCTTTCCTCTTCTTCCACTCAATCCCTTTCTCTTTAGCATTTGCTTCCGTATCTCCAGTAGTTTTCTTCTTATCTGCACGTTTCTTCTTGCTCTCCCTCTTAGCCCGCGTTTCGACGTCCACAAAATCGTATAGCATGATCTTTCGCCCACCGATGATGAGGATACCACCTTCAAAATCATCATCGTCAACCTTATAAGAGGGGATATGTATGATAGCAGGGGTTCCGTCGTCGTCCATGGCTGTACTAAATAATTTGCCTGGGACAGGGAGTGAGGGGAGGAGTGGCGAGGGTAATGTGGAAAGCTGGAGGTCCTCAATAGAAAGGTCGCGAGTAAGAAGTTGGAGGCGTTGTTGGTAGTCGATGTGCATCATTGCCAAGGTATACATATCCCGAGAAGTTGACACAAAGGTAATATCCAGAAGGTTGAGCTCAGTTATTCTGACGAGAAAATATGAGTAAAATTAGTGCGAAAAATGCCACGACATACGATGCATCAAAGTCATGGTCATATCCTCCGTCTTGGTCAAGCACCACGACCTTGAGTTTGCCTGTGTACGCGCTCACGACAGCCACACCCCCTGAAGGATCAACTAGAAGGGTGTGGCAGAATTCTGCCGGCCGAGCACTGCGCTCAGACAATGAGAGATACTTCGTGGCAGTAATCTCTGTTGACCCTGCGCCATTTACAGTAAAAGATAGGAATATAAGCTCTGGCTCTGGGTGATCGGTAAGCACGAGCAGGCTGATACTGCTTCTACTCTAGAAAACGAGTCCCATAATCTTAATATGACACTACAGACGTGTTTTTTGCAGTTGTTGCTCACCAAGACTGGCACAGCTCTGATAACTCGGACTCTTCCCCAGATATCAAGACCCTGTTGATGACGGAGCCCTTCTGGAAGTAGCGCATATATATCAAGCCTATTTGACTTTGCAACGACAAGAAACTCTGATGGGTGCTCATCTTTCAACCTAAATTTGAGCGAATCTACGACAGATGACGCCGGGTGAAAGGTGGTAACGACCTTCATGGTGAACTGTGTTGCTAGCACAGCCACTACCTACACTATAGAAAGGTTTAATCACGTGAACTTCTAAAGGCGGCCCAGCCCCTATCGATTGTGGTGCTTGCAAGTGCAGTAGAGCATGGTGTACAGAATCCAGATCTAAATGACTAGGTACACTAGCGTCGTTGTGAGATTCAGAAAAGCTGGTTGGTGGGAGGAGTAAGTATGCAAGCTAAGTTCCGAAAAGACTTCGGGCTAGCAGCGTGACTGCACTACCTGTAATAGCACTGCCCACAACAAGCAGTACCTCCCGGTCTTGAATTATTCGTGATATCGGATGCGACCATACTGATGAGTGCTCTGGCCCAACGTCCGCTTGTTTCCCAGGGACAGATACTGTCACAGTTGGCACTGACAACGACTCGCTAGACAAATCTCGAGCATCGTATGCCGCCCTTTCCACAATCTCTGAGGTCAGTCCCTCTTGCTTTACCAACCGCTTATCCAATTTCGCAATCCCGAACTCTATCAAAGCTTGAGTCTCCGCAGCCATTTCTTCCACCTTCTTTTCGAACGTTTGCGCCAGTCTCCGCCTCTTCCATGGCTCAACCACTATGATCGCCAGTATGAACACCACCACGTTGACCCCAAGCACCATCATACTCCCATAGGTACTCGCACTTCGGATCTTGTCACTCCACACTTGCTCCTCGTGGTACCTAGCCAGAATGGCGCGCATGAGCTCAGCAAACTCTCTATCCAACGCATCATCATTCTCGGAGACCTTGGCCTTCGTCGCGACCTCGTGTTGTTCCAGTTGGTGATCTGAACGTACAAGAGAAGTGAAGGCGCTGACGTCGGCGTCTGTCCACGAAGATTTACGCTGCAAGAGCTCATTCACTTGGCGCTGGGAAAGAGAGCGCTGTAAAACAGCATCGTCATACGCTGTCTTAGCCTCTCGAGCTGCTTGACGAGTAGCCATGATTCTAGCCTCTTCGTCAACATAAGTCTCAGTTGTAGCACAGACACAATAAAGGAGTGCAGCACACCTTGTTCGACTACCCGTTGTTTAAGCGAGTCAATCTCCTCATAGCCCGTTACGCGATTGAGTTGAGAGCCCAATTGAAAAAATCTTGTGGACGTCTTCTGCGTGAACTCATCTGTGCGTTGACGGAGTCCATTTGTTTGCTGTTTGAATCCAGCAGTTGCAAGTGCAATCCAATCTCCGATACGCTGTTTGATGGTGTCTAGATCGTATGTGGATATCTTGGAGTTGAGTCGCCGAGGAGAGTCGGACTGGACCTTTGAACCAGCAGGCACAACTCCGGATGGATGTTTAACGCCTTCAGGCACGTTAGCATGAGTTTCCTGGCGGGATTGGGCTTGCGAGTCAACATTTGATGGCCCCGGCGACAGAGATCTCGTTGATTGCGCATTGAGGCGCAGACATGAATGGGAGAATGTGCGCAGATTGTTTACTGGTCTCCATACCCTAGTCCGCAGCATGATAATGCCTAGACCAATGTAGTTGAGCAGAAGACACACCGGTTCCGAGCCGCACCGACAAACGATAGATCTGGCTAGCGCCTGAAGCTGACAGAACAATTATTCTATCAGGTCTTGCTTATGGGAGACTCAACAAATAAGCTACAGGAAGATTGCAACGGAACGACAAATATTCGTGCAGTTTACATAAATCTATTGCAATATAATATCAGTGTCGTGTCACGGCGTGCTGACGTGTCATAAGCTGGCAAATAAATGACCCAAACCAATGATATCCTTTAGCTCCAGACATCCAACATTAGCCGTGAGCGTTCTTTCATCAGCTTGATCTCAGCCGCGCCTTCCGCCTCACTCCCACCCTTCGCTTCGCCCAAAATCCGCGCAAGAACTTCTTCTACTGCCTTACTCATCGCTTTGGCGTCACCACAAATGTATACATATCCCTTCCCATTCAGGATGGCGTCCGCGATATTTTTCCGGTCATCCCAAATGAGATCCTGCACGTAGATCTTGCTACCATCAGGCTTGTATGGCGGCTCCCGCGAAAATGCGCAGTGCATCGTGAACTTGCCCTTCAGCTCGGCAGTATATTGTGGCCACTCGTCTTTGTAGAGGAAGTCTTCAGTTGACTTACGGCAACCATAGAAGAGTGAGATTTGACCCCAATCTGCCAGAGCATCATCGCCGTTCTTCTCAAGTGTTCGGCGGGCAAGAGCAACACGTTCTTGGATGAACCCTCGGAATGGCGCAACACCCTGTGCCGTATCTGTGAGCGGAAAGCCGCAAAGTATTCTAACAAATAGACTTACAGTGCCAGGCCCAACCATGATGACAGGGCTCTTGGGGTTTGTCGGTAGCCTGAACGTAGAACGACGGACGTGGACAGGAATCTTGTAAACATCCTCAGCCTTGTGCGCCCCACGGGGACCTTCGATGGCATACGCCGGCAGCGATATATGTTCAATTCCTTCGCTAGCGTCAGCGGTCTCGCCATTAGCGGCGTGTTTGATATTAAGCAAGAAGTTTGAGCCAACACCATGTACCCAACGAGAAGCAACGAGCTTGTTCGCAATGGACTCGTATTTGAGAACAACAGCCGTCACGTGTACGGAGGTAGGGTTAAGCTTGGGGCTGCTCGAGATAGAGTAATAGCGAGGTTGCAAACGAGGAATTGATGAGATGACAATATCAAAGGGAATAGCCCAGGCAGTGGTATTCTGGGGTGTAGGGTGGGCATTTATGTCATTGCCTGCAGCTAGTTGAAGGACTTCGCCAAGCTTTAAACATCCATTCGCGACAACAGCTGCATACTCATCCTTGTTGGAGGTGAGGTTACGCATGAACGCATCGGCCTCAGGGGAGGGAGCAAACTTGGCAAGAACACCAAGAATCTGACGACCGGCGACAGCACTGATGTCAATGTAATGGCGGAGGACGCTGATATAGGTTGAAGGGACAGGGAATGGAACCTTGGCAAGAGCAGGGTCGAGAGAATCGACGTTTATAACGGTATCCTTCTTGGAGTAGAGTCCAAGTGCACAAAGGAGACGGTCAACCTCAACGTCAGGGTTGAGAGGCCAGACGCCGACGTGATCGCCATGTTGGTATGTGATTCCAGAACCTTCAATGTCAAGCTCGACATGGACGCAGTTACGATCTCCACCAACTTGGAAAAGTTCGCGAGAAATCTTGACCGGAGAGGCGTACGGGTTCTTAGCATCATGGATGCCTTTGGTCTTTGTAAGGGCACGTGCAGAAAGTTCGCCTACAGACCAAAATGAGAGGCGTACAAAAATGCACAGCGAGTGCTTACCAAGATATACTTTTTCCGGAGGGTGCGATTCTAATTCGGTAACAGCAAAATCTGGGGTATCACCACCCTGACCCTCCTCTACACCCAAAGCTTCAGCGAATGCAGGCCAAAAATTGTCCTTCCACTCTAGGTAGTCCTCTTCCATGCTCTTATCGTCATCTCCCTCACCGCGCTCGCCGATCCTGACTGCGCCCATTTTCGTGAGCTCGTCATCTACCTGACGTGCTATGGCATTGTAGTGTTCGTAAGTCCTGTTGCCCAAACCAAAAACAACATATTTGAGGCCCTCGAGCCCATGTTGACCGTTACTGAACTCAAATGCAGAATCGGTCAAGTTTTCCATGAGCTGAACTGCGTTATCGGTAGGTTCACCCTCGCCATAGGTAGCCATGACAAAAATAACACAACTGTCCTCGGGGACTTGATCTAGATTCTCAAAGTCGTATTCCTCGGGGTCGCAGACAAGAGATGTGAGTCCGAACTTGGTTTTTGCCTCTTTGGCAATGCGGATTGCATATTCCTCAGCAGTACCAGTTTGCGAACCATAGAATATGATGAGACGTTTTTTCTGAGAAGAATATCAGATATATGATACATTGATGCGATCATGAACCTTGGAAGCTGATAGCTTACCCCTTCCTTCATTTTAGCAATAAAATCTCGTGGATTTCCATGGCCGTTCGCAAGTTTCGAAGGGGCAACTGGGACAGCTTTGGGCGTCGAGGAAGAGAATATTGAATCACGAAAAAGATATGCAGCAGCTAGGACCACGCCCAGCGCAAGTATTGCGACGTCCGAGGAGGACGCGACAGCCATTAGTGGACGAAACCTAGAGGAAATGATTGTAGTAGTGGAGAGAACGAAACCGAGCTTGGGAAGAACAGGAAGAACAAGCAGGAATAGTCGCTCGAGAACAGTTAAAGGACAAGAAGCACAGCGATGCAAGGCACTAAAATGCCGACGTGGCGAATGTATCAAATTTCCCACGTACATTTCCGAATCCGATTATAAGGGTAGGAACAGTATTAATTAGTCAGCACGATAAAACACTTGAATTCAATTCATATCAGCTAGTACAGTACAGACGGCATGTTTCAACGCTAGCTCAACTAGTTGATCTGATCGTATCATGAGAGCGATACACAATGATACCCACCTGTGCCGGCAGAGGCCTGGATCCGGAAGCGCCGGTGTCATGTGGTCCGATTTCTATGAATATTCCCATCTGGGCGAATTCACCGGTATTCAAACCACGGCCCAGCTGTCCTGACTAATCATAGTGACTCATAAGTACATGCAGTTACTCCAGCTGTTCGCAGAAACCATTGGACAAGTGTACTAGATCCAGTCTCGGCGGTCCGATCAATCGGATTCAGATGGTGCTGTTGCTAACGAGGACTTCGCTAATGAAGGAATGGTCTAGCTAACTACGTGGCTGTGGCTCTGCCAACAGACAACGTTACGCATTTGGGCAACAGATAAATCTTATGTAAACGTATGTAAGCTGCCGGTAGAACCGTTCGTTTGAACTAGTACTCAGAGATCATTTCATCCATTGAGTATACTTATAAGTATTGGTGCGACAAATTCATGTTTGCTGTCAGCATCTGAGTCCAGCTTTACAGCATGGATTCACCTTGGGAGGAGGACCCACGAGCAGATTATGCTCCCGAAGCAGACTGGGCAAAACTCTCTAATGAGTTCACAAACGTACCATGCACACTCATGTTTCATTCTTCCCTTGATTGATATTTCCATCTGTAGTCTGGATACCGAGAAGGGATAATCGCAGGCAAAGAATCTGCACTTCAAGAGGGGTTCGACGCTGGTTTCGCGCATGTAGGAGTTCCGATTGGCCGTGATCTGGGATCAATACGTGGCGTAATCTCTGCGATTGCATCATTTTTGAGCTCAAAAAGCCAAGAAGACACAACAACCCTAACAACTGCACGCGAAATATCATCTTCGCTCGCAGGCATTCGCTTCTCCGATATCGTTCCTGTCGATCAGGAAGCAGAGCAACACGCCAGAGAGCATCTTGATGCAAATGATGATCTAATCGAACAGAGTGAGGAACTTTTGCAGAAGAGAGAGATGGAGGGATTAGAAGATATGCTGCAGAGGCTCACTGCTGGTACTACAAGTAAACCGTTGCAGGGTAGGCCAACTAGAGAGGACATAATTCGTTTGAAGGAAGGTATTTTTACGCTGAGTGCCCAACTGGGCTTGGATATCACACCCTAGTTTGGGGTTAGGGTTAGGTCTTACTATGACACGTACCACTTTGCAACTAAACTAATTACGTTCAAACTTGTTTCAACAACACCACCACCTTCACCTTGTGTGCCCGCACAATGTCGGTCCTTCGGTGAGCCCTTTCACTAAAAGAGCCCGCGTCTGTGTTCATGAGCTTTGAACGACAGACTTGGACTATGTGTTCTGGGAGTCTACTCCATGTTCCTAGTATGCTAATTTCACCAGTTCTGACGAAAGACAGCTGCTCACCAGCGTTGTATTCAGCTATGGGCTGTGGCGCAGGAACGACGTAAGTACAACGTATAAAAACAACCAATTGCATGAACTAATACAAGCTCTTAGTATCAGTTCCGTTTCAACACATAGACGGACAATCAACAGACAAGTTCAAGTCTGCGCTCTTCCTTGGGACTTGTCAAAGCTTCCTGAGCTCGCTGTCTGCCCTCGCATACATACTTATCCGTGGAAAATCAGGGTCATCACTATCATCTCTACTGGGCCTGGACCTTGCCTCCATGGTGCAAACGAACAATTCATCCAATTCCAAAACAAACGGATCTTCGAGCACTAAAGTCAACGGCCATCCCCATTCCTCAAGCGCGCATTCTCACACTTATTCGTCCACATCCAAAGCTCTCCTCTTGCGCTACCTTCAAGTATCGGCTTTTATCACGCTAGCCGCTCCGTTTGGCTTCGCAGCCCTCTCGTACATAACGTATCCTACAATGGTCTTGGGGAAGTCTTGCAAGCTCGTCCCAGTGATGCTCATGAATTTCGTCATGTACAGGAGGCGCTTTGCTCCACACAAGTACATCGTAGTCGCGATGGTCACAGCCGGAATCAGTGTCTTCATGGGCTTTGGGAATGAAAAGCCATCAAAAGCCTCATCCAATGGAGAGCAGGGGTCTCATAGCCAGCTGATTGGCATTCTCTACCTTTTTATCAACCTCATTCTCGATGGCGCGGTGAACTCGACGCAAGACGAGATGTTCGCTCGGTACAAGGTGACCGGACAACAGATGATGTTCTGGATCAATATATTCTGTACGCTATTGACTACGGCGCTTGGAACCCTTCCCTTGCCGCACATCCCTGTGCTTCACCCCTCGAGCGGTTTACAATCAGAATTTGCAAATGCAATTGGGTTTATAAGGACGCATCCTTCTGCTATCATACCTCTAGTCCAGTTTTCCTTGACCGGCGCTCTTGGGCAGCTGTTCATCTTCGAGACGTTACAGCATTTTGGATCGTTGACTTTAGTGTTCGTAATCCTTTTATGGGGTTTCTGTTACGCTCTTTGCTCATCACAAATTCGCAGAATGATTACCTTGACAAGAAAGATGTTCACCATGGTTCTCTCTGTAGTAGTTTATGACCACAGACTCACCCTCGGGCAGTGGGCAGGCGCGGGCATAGTGTTTGGGGGCATCTCAGTTGAGGCGTGGGTAAAACGCAAAGGTCAGAGCCTTGTTGCTGCTGATGTCTTATGTCTGATTACTTTCTTCAGAGGTCCACGCAAAGCGTGTTCTACAGGAGAAAGAGAAGGCAAAGATCAAATCACTATAGATCATACCCAGTTGACAGCTGGGTCATATCGGATCCCAACAGAACTTATACCATTCATCATGACAGGATACGAAATACTTCTAAAACAAGTATACAATAGTGGTAGACTAAACAGAGAGGGAATGAAGAAAGCTCCAAGAAAGCACGGTCATAGATCTGTTGCCATTGCGTCGTCCCCTTCTGCGTCAACTAATGCTCTTTTGCGGTCTTCCTCTCTGGTGGATTGTTAAACTTGAGGCGCACAAAGAATGGGAATTGATCTAAATATTGACATACCTAAAATCCTCCTCCTCATCATCGTCATCTCTCTTCCTCCGGGAGACAACTCTTTGCATCTGCCCTTGTGGAAATCCGGCAACAGCCACGGATGCCTTGTATATTGACTCGTATTCCTGGAGCACAGCATAAGAACATAAAGCTCTTCATAGAAGGTTTCGTTGGAGTGCAAGATAAAGGCTCGAGGCACAGGAATGCAAAGCCAACCAAGCTCGGGGTCACAAAACTCACCTTGATCTGTGTCAAAAAACCACCATTTGGCGAAATACAGTAGCGACGATTTTGAACAAGGTGAAGAGCATCCTCCCATGACAACTGACAACGCTGCATGACGAACATGACAACAAAGGCAGGTGAAAGGGAAATCCCGCCTGTATTGTAAGTGGACTGAGTTGGCGCTGCAAACAATCAAGCGCAGAGCGCACCGTTGCAGTGAACTAGAACAGTGCCCTTTCTATTCAATGATTCAGTAATAAAATTATGAGCTCTGGCTGACTGTTAGCATGTTCACGGAATATCGTGCAGCAAATACGCACTCCGGGAACAGACGAATGACGTTTTGGTCTTCGTTATCCTCCACGTCCAACACAAGGTACTCGAAACGCTCTGGGAAACGTGGTTTCACGGAGAATGCTTCCTTCTTATCGCGTATACAAAGTCTTTGGATATAATTTCAAGGGATAAAATAAGAGACGGGTTGATTAATCAAGTAGGTCGTCGATTCAAAGAGGGTTGGAACCTCACATGTGAGTGACGCCAAGCGAATTGAGCACCTCGAGCGACTTTGACGCTTGGAAAGGGCCTAGTAGAAGGCCAGGGATGATCTCTTGACATTCCCGACGCATTTCATACCTGGTAAATGGGACGCATTCATAGCCGTGGCGCAGGAATGTGTGCGGCGCATACCTCCATTCCACATCTCCTGGACCCTGGATCAGGTTTTTGAGGGATTCATCTGTGAGCGGAAACACGCTGTTCGAAGGAGTTGACATAGTGGATGGGAAAGACATGTGCATCAATGAGCACTAGTTGTGCCATAAAACGGAGAGCAAGAACAAGCTACCGAGAGTAATACTATAGTATTTCATAATGTTCGGAAGCAGTATGGTCACCATCCCATCGCCGGCGGCAACTTGAAGCTTCTTCGTTCTACAACCTGAGTCAATTGATCCGCCCGACCAGTGAGTCACATCTCCGTATACATGGTCGTTCACTTTTATCAATACATGAAGCCAGTCACTTGAAGCGAGTTCCAAATTTATAGCATTCAAGATCAAAGTCATGGACTTCGATGATGATATACCGTATGTTCGCGGTATGTTTTAGTCTGTCGCTCGTCTGCATTGCTAATGTTCTTGCTTACAAGGACATTGATCGAGCATGAAGATAAACAGCTCATGCCTGATTCTGCCTCGACTGGTCGAGTACCATGTACAATCATCAGTGGCTTTCTTGGGGCGGGGAAATCCACCCTGCTGAGGTACGCGAAATGCTCGACACCATGCGCACCATGCACCTACCTCATTGTTCATTAGGCGTATTCTAACGGAGCATCACGGGTATCGAATAGCCGTGATCATGAATGAATTTGGCGATACATCAGTGAGCAATGTTTTAATTTGCTCATGATTACGTCTATTAAACTTTCGTTGGAAGAGCATCGAAGGTTTCTGTTACTATCCTGACGATGTGAACTTCCTCGCTAACATTAAGCATAGCTAAAACCATTAATATCTCTTCGGAAGATGACCCGACAGCAGAGAAGTCACAGGAGCTCCTTGAGTTGGCAAATGGATGTCTATGCTGTTCTATCAAAGACGCTGGCGTA